TTTCTGCAGTTCTACAAGGACATGATCCATAGTAGTAATAGATATACAGTAAATGACAGAAATAGAGATGTTTTTCTTGTTATTATTCCATTAAAATAGTAACAGAAAAGATCCTGTTTTTTCAACTTGCTAATATCAGGCTAGCACTACTCTACAGTACCAGCAGAGGGAGATCTTTTATTTCAAGCCGACATTAAAATGATAAAAGGATCAAAGGACAGCCTTTAAAGAGACATTAATAACACATTTACATGTAAATACATATTAGCCAACTAACTTAACCGTTTCTGGCATTGAAGGACCCTGGAATGTACTTCATATCCTTGGTCACTGTTGACTTCTTGGCTTTAAATACTGTATATTATCTCCCCCTACTGATACTGTGTGTGTCCATTTCACACTTTGGAGAGATCAGTGTGTCTATTAGACATTTTGCCGTGATATCAATGTCAATAACTGGGGAGATTGTACCAGATACAGTAGAAATAAACACACAAATAAACACCGGTCCCCAAACTCACACCTCTAGACCTCTTCGTGGGGATGTGACAGAATGTCCAACTGACAATGACCCCCGACATTTTTCTTAATTTCTATTGTCTAATTTTGGTGAACTTGTGTGAATTGTATACTCAGATTCCTTGTGGCGCCTGGTGTGGTCTTCTGCTACTTCTTCTCTGGTAATAACAAGACATTTACGAGAACAGAGAACTGCTGCTGACTGGATATTTTGTATATATTTTTTAAAAATCATCTTTCTTCACCATTGCTCAATTTGAACTCCGGGCCATCGTGACCATGTCTTTATTCCTAAATGCATGGCTTGCACAGCTGATTAGATATTTGCGATAATGAGCAACTAAACAGTTTTACATGGTCATGAGTGTACTTCTGTGTTGTTTTCACAGTGGGTTAAAAATAGAACATTTTCTGAAAATTAACAAACATTTTTGTTTTTAATTATTTGATAAAATCACAGTAAAGAGATGCCGGTACTTTTTTCATGAGTAATTTTACACTTTAAGGAGCCGTTCTGACGATTTTCTTTGATTTACTGCAGAAACTTTTCATTATAATGTAGAAAAACTGAGGGGTCTTCTTGAAAATTCATAAGAAATATCAGGAATCCGATGTCCATTTGAGGTATTTAATTGGGCAGTAGTTGCATATGGGTCTGCCATGCTTAAGCTCAAAGGGGACTGAATATTGCTCACAATGTAAGAAGAGTTTGGCGCGCCTTATCTAAAGCCTCAACATGCATTTTAGATACAACCCAAACTAGTCTTCTCATAGATTCTTCTTCATTAATTAGCATTTACACATCAGATAAATCTATTTTTATTAACAGGTTATGTATCACCGTTCTTCAATATTGTTAGTTTAGACTTTACCCAGATGTTTTAGACCCATATCAAACACCTCTTTTATTTTTAAAGTCTGTAAAAAGGCTTCAGTTTAATCACATAGACAGGAATCATCATCAAGGGTTTGATCAAAAACAATCAGCATGAAACATTTACTCTCATTTCACCATGAAGCTCATTTTTTCTCATGCACTAAATCAGGAGTATCCCTGTCCTTAACAGTGAAGCACTTTCACCCTTTCATAAAAGCCCAAACTAGCTCAAAGCACTACCTGAAACAATCAGCAGGACAAAGTTGAAAAGGCTTAATGATCATAATGATCAGTGAATGAATAAATCTGCATCGCATCTATTTTCATTAAATGGACCACATCCAATTTATAACAAGCTGATAAATACCAGTCCCCATGTACCCACAGCTCTTGTCTTCAAGGCTAACGACGAGACACTGATCCCTCTGACCATGTGTGCTAAAACTCAGTTTGTGTTGCAGTGGTGATAACACTTAGGCCTGCTCTGATCTCTGATAACTTTATCTTTGCTCCTCACAAACTGGCCCAGTCACAAACAGATCATCTGTCCCAGCCCCTGAAACCTAATCACACACACACACACACACACACACACACACACACACACACACACACACACACACACACACACACACACACACACACACACACACACACACACACACACACACACAGAGCTTTTCCTTCAGGCGTTAACCTGCTCAGTGGCTCAAGGATAAGAGTTTAAGTCAAAGTGGGGGAGAAAAGAAGAGAGGATGGTGGAGGTGAATACAGCAAAGGTTCCCATCCCGGTTAGACTGATGTGTTAGTTTGATTATATATTAAAAATAACAATTAAATATTCAATAATATTAATATTAATAATATTAAATACTTTCCTTTTTTCATGAAAAGTATTGTTCCCATTAAACAGAATAGATTAATTGCTTCACAGCAGAGACAGTATCCGCTAAAGGTTTGAGAGTTGCTTCAGAGGTTCCTGGATAAACTTCTTTCTAGTCATCAATGAATGTTGCATGACTGCGCAGAGCTCCCTCTAGTGGGGGAAGACCTACATGATGAATGTGGCTTTAATGTGGGTGAAAATGGTCATTCTCCCTGCAGTTTTAAGCCTCTAATTGATATTTAGCACAGAGGAATTTTTTTGGGTAAATTACTAATATTAATTAATATCTTATAAAGTTGATGGTAAATAGAAGGATGTTGTGTTTTTACACTACTAGCACACTCAGAAAAGTAGGTCATCTTGCTTTATGAAGCTGCAATTCCTTACATAATCTAATCTAATCTAATCTAATCTGGGATTCTCCGCCGTTTGACCTTAGAACTGAAGAAGCTTCTCGGATTAGAGGTGAAATGTCTTCAAACAACTTAAAGAAGTCCAGACGCTTTTCTTTCCAAGCTCCTTAGACTACGCTGACCTGGATGACTGAGAACCTTCACAGACAAACTAATCTGTCCTACAAGCAATACAATTTAGAGCTGCACCATTAAGCATCATTTATATATCTAAAAAATGAAATGAGCCAGAATGGTACGAAACTGTGTCACGATTAACTCTGAAAAACATCAATATCTCCAATTTTCGTCAGTTTCAGGGTTTTTTTGAGGTGTGCCACAGTAGTACGAGAAAGGTTAAAAACATGAAGAAAACTTAAGGCAAATGAATATGATTCTTTACTATTTTAGGGAAATACAAGAAACAATACTTTGCAGACTCTGTTTTACTGTGTTTGTTTAAATGAAATGCAGTTTGATTCTTTTTTTATTGTTTAACAAAATGCATTGAAGTAATTTTTCTGCCATGTTTGGCATCTGAAGCGGGCAAAAAAGGGGACATTAAAGGGAAAATCTTACTTATTTTCCTCTGGCCTGTCCTCTGTTTGATTGTTTTAGTAAGATTTACCTGAGTTTTGGAACTCAGCTGCAGAAATAAACCCCTTCTTTTGATTACAGTGGAAGTAAATGCCTCTTACCTTGTGGTGCTCAAAGGTAATAACATTTATTTCCAGAAATCATGACCCAGCTGCTGAAAGAGAAAATTCAAAGGTTCTCCACTCTTACATCAAAACACTTTCATCAAGGTTTGAGGATCTCTTTAAGTGACTGGGTCATGATTTGATAAAATGTATGTTTTGGCGAGCTTTGAGCATCACAGTGTAAGTGCCATCTGTCATTATAATCAGGGGAATGCAGCATTTCTACAGCTGTTATCTATAAAAATAGGCACAGTTTAGATCAGCCCAATGGATGGCTTTGCAATATATTAGTAAGATCTAGTGCCTTCCAGGTCATTTCTCTCGAGGACATGATGACATCATCAGGACACACTTGTTTGTTTGTTTTTTCTAATTGTGCTGTTATGAACTTTAACATTCAACATGAGCAGTGCACAGCTACCACGCACCTGGTTACCAGGAAAACTGGCAAAACCTCTGCTTTTATAGAAGTGCTCACCTGCTGATCAGTTAATAAAGAGCATTTGATCATCAGCACCTGAGTGCTACTGTCAGCTGATCTTTTGTCAACTGACCAGGCAGCCCTGCATGTTTTGTTTTGGCAGATTTTTAAGCCAGATGCCCCTCCTGATGTAACCCTGAGAGAATTTAGGTCTCTGGCTGGACGCGAACCAGCAGCTTTTTGCTTGCCGAGCAAATATGTAAACCTCTTTGGAAGGAATGAAGGTGTAGTTGATGATTAGTGGATCACAAGTGACTGGTGAGACCAAAATGATACTCTGGAAGGGAAAGTGTTGATTAACAGGAGTTGGGACACCCCCTGTCTGGATGGATGGATTTATTGCATTAATTTGACTTCACGGTCGCTGTAAGGCCTAAAGAGCCACTTGTCTCGTACGATGTACACAAAGGCACTGCCTACGGTGGCCACGAGAGGCCAAACGGACTGCAACTTCAGAAACTTAAGACAACACCAGCAATAAGAAAAACGCTGCAAAAGCACACAAAACACAATCAAAATAGAAAAACGACAAAAAGAAAAGAGAAATAGGAAAAAAGATTTCCAAAAGCACAAGGGAAGTGTTTCTGGGGAGACAATAACCCGACGGACCAGTTGCAGGAACCCAAAACATGCTAGGTGTGTTTTATCATGATTCATATAATACTGATGACGGACTTTTAGCCTAATAGTTAGGCTAACACACTTACCTTTCATCTTTTCTTTCCTCACAAAACCGATAGATCCTCCACTTCTTTGAAGTGTCTCCCAGCGCAATTCTTAGCATATTTTGGTTTCTGCAACTGGTCCGTCGGGTTATTGTCTCCCCAGAAACACTTCCCTTGTGCTTGTGGAAAACAGTTTTTTTCCCATTTCCGTTGTGTTTTGTGTGCTTTTGCAGTGTTTTTCCTTATTGCTGGTGTTTTCTTATGTTGCAGTCCGCTTGGCCTCTCAGGGCCACCGTACACCGTTCTGCAGAAAGTCTTAATCAGCACACACTGCTGGTGACTTTCTATGGGCTCTTCTGTGTATTCAGCTCATTCTAATTTATTCGACTGGATCAGCAAGTGTCTGCTGCACGTGACACGGGATTTCTGCTGTGAAGTGTGAAAATAAAGGGTTAATTAATAAAAATCACACATGCAGGGCAAGTTAGTGATGGATTTTAATAATTTACAGGCGCTGGACTGTCTTAGGCTTTAGGTCAGTCACATTTCCTGGAAGAAGCTGCTTTGGTATGTGCTTGGTGTGACTTTTCCACAGTACAGTTACATTCGCTGCGCTGTTGATAAATACTGTACAAAAATATAATAGGACGTTCCCTCTGCACTGGCAGAGAGGGAAACCATAAAGCTTTGTTAAATTATATATACACATAATGCACGCTCAAGCTCTGACATCATATTAAATAGAATAAATTATATCTTGCATTTGGTGTGTGAGGCGTGCTTCTCAAGTCTCTGTAATAACAATAAATGCTTAACACTAATAATCTATATTCAAAAGAGAAAAAAAAATGCACTCAAGTGACAAAAGAGAAGCTTCAAAATGTCCTTTTTGAGTGAAATAAGGAAAAAAAACAAAACAAACCATACCATGCTTGCATATTGCAAGCAGTGTATTGCAAGTTTCACACTTTTTACATTTCCTCCCACTGTTGTTTCACTTCAACCCAGCCAGTGAGCGAAGCTTTCAATCCTTCAGTGTAAATATGCCTTCACATCCACCGTTTGGCGTCTCGGCGCTCCTTTTTCACAGCTTGCATTGGTCGGACTCTCTCCACTAGGTGGAGCCATCTCCCAGCAGGCAGCGTCTGACTCCTTTGTTTTTCCTTCCCTGTTATCAGTCCGAGTTTAGCACGGCTTATCGCTCCTCGATGGCACCTAAAGCCGACACGTCTGGTATTTGCTGTGTGAAGGGGTGGCCAGCTCGTAGAAGAGGACGTAGGCATTGCTGCTGCGAACCTGGCTGGAGGACATCGGGCTCACCCTGCACAGAGAGCGCACACGGGAAACACTGAAGCGAGGGCAGCTTAGCACAAAGTTAAATATTTGCACATTATGAACCAGGCTCCAAACATGCACACTTTGCTGTAAAGCTGTAATGAGGTCAGCTTGATGCAATTAAGATTAGGTCACTTTCATGTGACAGCAGGTATATACAGCTTAATTAGACTTTAACCCTTTCTGCCAGTCTGATAAGATGATACGCTAAGTAACACGATGATGCGAGAGCTGATACCTGGAGTCATTGTAGCTGTACCACTCTCCCAGAGCTGGGTTTTTGCAGTAGGCTGTGTAGTGGCCTCCCAAAGCGTTTCCACTGTGGTTGGACACTGCATAGAGGTTATACACAGGGCGCTCTGCAGAGAAGAGACAACACAGCTGTCAGTCAACACAGCGGCAAAGCTAAAATAGATTGATTGTCCTTCTCTCCTCTGGAAAATACATACCGCTGGATTCTGAGGCAAACTCCCGCAGGTCCAGATCTTTAAGAGGGAAGTTGACGTAAGTGGAGAGCTTGCTGGCTCGGACGTTGGAGTCTGAGAATCGTTTAAGGTCTGAGGGAACACTGGGTCAAGGATCAAAACTGGTTCAAAGATAGCTTGCATCGATCATGCGAGCTACAACCGACTGGCAACAGGCAGCAACTTCCAGGGAACACCTGCCCAATGGTCAGGAAATGGACATTTTTTTCCTAGTGACTGGAGATTACCAGGGTGTGAGCAGCCAGTCTCCATGCTCAATATATTTATCGCACATGGCATCATTGAAATCTCTCTGCTTTCTGGAAATATTAAAATGCAAAGATGTGAGGAAAGGATACGAAGTACGAGGACCTGAGGGAACTTCTGGATGCTGAACCTCTTGGTGCATTTTCGTCTGGCTTTGCATTTGGTGCACGTCTAAGAAAGAGATGAACACGGTGTAGGCAGTGTAATCAATACATTGCATCATCTTTACAGAGGAAAGTGAGACTTGGGTTATTTATGCATTGCCTCTTACCGGTCTCTCCTCTCCATCCAACACATCTTCCTTTGTAAAGAGTCTCAAGCAGTCTTTGAGAGTCACTTCGCCTGAACTCTTCTGTGGAGGCAGACAAGTGTTAGAAATCAAGCCCTGCGTGAAGACTTGCCTAACGCTTATGATTAAGATCGGTAACCTCTACAAAAATTACATTTACAACGTGGATATCATTTTTAAATCCGTGGCTTATGCAATGCGATAATCCAAGACCACAGCAGGCATTTTACCTGTGCAATAGGTATCGAGAGGTCCCAAAATGGATCAAACACAGTGGAGCGGAAACCACAAGCTGTGCAAGTCAGAGAGCTTTTCAGCTGCCCCACAAACAGATCTATGGGCAGGATGGAGGGCCATGTTAAACATTTATATTCCTTTAAGGCTTATTTAAGATTATTATGCAGCTATGGGTTAAAAAATAAAGAAATCACTCACCCACTACTTTGCTGTCCTCTCTCGCCAAGTACATGTTCCACATCCTTCTGCCTTTTTCGTCATCCCTGTAAAATAAAAAAAACAAAACAAAACAGCAAAGTCAAACCGATGTTATGTTCACCTGCAAACCAGTGATAAAAACTTCAATTAAAGCCTCTTTAAGATCCTTTGCAACTCAGATATTGATAAGTAAACTTATTGTTAATATTAATTCACCAATTTTGGGGTTCGTTTCTCCTCCAATGGCCACAAAATGTCAATTACACGATAATTATAGATGAAAGCTCGCTATGTTGACCACTGCAGCCCAATCAGGGATACAGCAGTCACCCAGACAGGCTGAGTGTGAGGCCACACTTACGCGAGGTGGTCAAAGTCCAGGACGGACACTTTAGGGCGGACCGTCACCCGGTTGACTTCATTATGGAGACCGTCCAACAAGAAGCGGAGAAATTCCTGAGCATCCTGTTGGCTGTAGAGGGAGACGTTTTTACTTGATTTTACTGATGTGCACGGCTTCAGGTTGACTTTAAAAGAAGGCGGAAAACTCACTTGCAGCCAACGAATTTTGGAGCACACCTCTGGACCTGGTTCCTGAATTCAGAGGGACTGATGGGCTCATTGTTTGCAGAGGTCCACAGGCTCTGAGTCAGCTTTGCAAACTCTGAGGTAGACAAATTGCAGAAATCAGACCACCATCTCAACTTGGTAGGGAATTAACTCGATTTAAGATCTGCAAAAATAACTCATCGTACCTTCGATGAGAGCAGTGTTTGACCTGCAGTTGTTGTTGAGGTCTGTGATGTGGCCGTTTCTCAGACAGTAATCTCTCAGCTCTAAAGTGTTACTCAGACACTGGAGGATGGAGTTCATGAAGCACTGCAAATCACATCAAACAGAGAGGCCCGGTAATTATTAAAGTGAAGACTAAACAGAATTATTTGCACTTAAAGGACAAAACGTGACACTTACAGTGTTACCCAGGTTCTTCAAACCCACCAGGCCCTGAAGACTCTTGTTCTGCTCACAGAAAAAAAGAAAAGAGAGATGTCAACATTAAAGATTTACATGACAGTAAATGTGTTTTTCAAATGACAGAGCAACTGATCGGAGGCACTGCTACATTTATTCACAAGCACTTGGTAGTGAGAAGGACAGTAAACCAGTGAAAGTCTGACCATGCACAACAAAAATGGAATCGAATGGAATATGCAAAATTATAGTGTTTTTTCCAACATGTGTAACAACAGGTCAAAATTCTATAAATTGCATCTATAACGTGTTAAACAGCAACTGTTCTTTCAAGGCACTGGCGACAGTAGAAAGGAAAATCTCCCTTTTAACAGGAAGAACCAGGATTAGGGAGAGTCAGCTTGACTTTGAGTTTGAATCCTAAACATATTGTATTGTTTTTTAATATTTTATTTATCCTCATAAAAAGGCTAATCGGTTAAGTTTTGAAATAGATCATGGTTTGGATTAAAACACAGTTGTTGCCACTTTTAAATCTCTATTTTCTCGGCTCTGTGGTTAAGTGTCACCATTTTTACGAGAAAACAAGTGCAGCCTACTCAAAATGCACTTTATTGTAATGAATGCAAACCTGCTAAAAAAACAAACAAACAAAACAAAGGCCGAAGAAGCCAACAGATCTGCATGCACCATCAGTGTGATCAAACCACTGTGTGAACAGCAGCTTTGTCAGATTCCTTAAGAGTGAACGAGTCTTAAAAGACAGGATGGCATTCGTGCAATGTGTGCGTTATGACGGTCACATTGCTGGCACGGGTCTGCCGTGGCTATCGGCTAGAGTTCCACGTGCTTAGATTAGATACCACGGTTTGCTGGGACGCCTCCCTGCACCCGTGACTGTGGTGAGCCCACCAGCTCACGCCAACGGTGACATAACGTGAGCATGTGACGCTGACCGGAGACAAAAAGTCCCCCCGGTCTGCAGGAGCGCAGCGTGGCTTTCAGTTGTTTGTGTAAAGTTTCACATCACTGCCTGAAGTCACGGATCAGCTGGTTTAGTTTTGGACATAACTCGTGCCGCCGTAGGTTGGAGTAAATCATCTGTGGCCCGGGAGTGATGCAGGTGTCAAAAAAAAAAAGTCTGCTGTGCATGAGCTGACAGGATCCTTTTACAGAGCGAGACAGCTGATGTGTGATTATGACATTTTTATGCTTTATGGCTTTTTTTTTTTTTTTTTTTTTTTTTTTTATCCCCCACAAAGTATGAGGGTGGAAAAGACATTCAGCTCAAAAACCTGAACATCTGCAACATAATTAAACAAAGATCATGAGTCAGAGCTGATGTTGCTGCTCGGTTCACAGTCAGCGTGTGCGTAAAACTTTGTGCCGCCTATGTTTCCGTCAGCGCCCCGATGACGGTACTTCTGCACGCTGCTCCTGTCAGCAAAGGCGTCGATGCGTGACAGTGCCGAGCTGCTCTTCGACATCATGATACACTCTTATTATAATGTTCCCTTATGCAGGACGGGCTACAGGTCACAAACCTGTTAACAGCTATCATGCATGTCAGAAGAAACAATGATGACATTTATTAAAGAGCATGGAATCCATTTATTTCACATTTTTAGTATTAACAATGTCCTGGAAGAGCCAAAGACTGACACTTAAATCTAGTTTGTAGCTTGTATCAGACCCAAAATGAACTTAAAGCCTGATGGTTTCTTTCTTTTTAAATGAAATGACATGCTGGGGTTAGCTTGTGGGACTCTAGTCTGTTTTTAAGCGCCGTCTCCACAAAGAACAACCAAGCTAGTTGCAACTATAGTACACTAATTACATTTATGCATTTCATTTCTGCAGCCCATTAAGTATTAATCCTCTAATAGTGCATTTTTAATCCATATTAAAGCAGCACAGGTTGCAGGCATCCTGGGTTCTGGATTACATCTGGATGTAAGTGGTTACATAATCAGAGCGCTCCCTTTAAATCTCCTGATGGGCAGTTCAATTCAATATTGTTTATATAGCATCAAATCACAACAACTGCCCCTCGAGGTGCTTTATATTGTATATCGTAAGGTAAAAAGCCTAAAATACCACAGAGAAAACCCCAACACTCACATGACCCCCTATGAGAAAGCACTTGGCAACAGCAGGAAGGAAAAACTCGCTTTTAACAGGAAGAAACTGGCTGAACCGAGCAGAAAGAGAGGGATTTTGGCCATTTGAGAAACCTTGGAAACAAACATTTGCAAGAAAAATTCCACGTTGTCTTTATAGCGTCCGGTGGAATTCTTCCGTGACAACCGGATTATATCTGCGTTGTAGTGCTTAACCTTGGAAACCTGAGCCGAGCAGGATGAGTGTATCAGATTACTAGTTAGTAATGCTGAACATTAACAAATCTAATATATTTGAACAAAGTAATGTGATTGTTCCCGCCTTTCCTCCCTCTTATGTGCCGCTGTGATTATAAGTACTTCTAGCTGAGAGCTTTGGTGCCTCGTGATCACTGTTTCCATCCCTCAAAATAGAAGTATGACTAAACAAGCGATTAATTCCCCTTTGCCTAAAATCTTTGTGTTTCTCTTCCTCTGTGCACTATTCGAAGGTGACCATATGGTGTGGGCCCCCCATCTGCTCCGGTGAGCACCAGCCGGCGGGGCTCGGCACACTCAGCGGGCGCCTTTTGATTTAAACGACCCGTCCAAAAATCGGTGGAAGCGATGCGTTCAGGTGAACCGGAGCTCGCCACGCTGGTCTTTGTGACTTCAAAGAAAAACAGAGAGACAGAGAGAGAAAGCGCAAGAATGTGCCCTAAAGCAGCTCTGCATGCCTGCACAAGGCCATATAACATGTGATGAAGCAGGCAGCCCTCCTGCATACGCATGGTGCCAGCTTACGCCACTCCCTTGGAAACAGTAGAAACATAAATCTTTGCTTCATGAAAAGCAAAGCTGGGAAAAGTCCAGAATACTCAAGTAGAAGTACTATTACTTTCCCTAGACTGTGCTTAGGATACGAAATAATGAGCAGGAACAGAGGAATTTACAAGTTATCCGATTATTATTTTTTAATGAACAGCCAGTTTCAGATGTTTGAAGGCAGCTGTGAAAAGCTGCACCCTGATGCTGCGGATAAGCTCCTGCTAACAGCTCCCTCTGGCTGTACTTTGACTTTGAGTTGAAGGCTAAAGTCAGCTAAAGCATGCTGATATGTTTAAAGTAAAACAAAAAGAAAGAAAGAAAGAAAACCCAAGAAATTCTGACTTTGAGAGGCATTCACTGCTGCTGGCATTTCTGCTACAGTCAGCGGATAAACTAATCGGCTGTAGATTTCTTTCCACCTTTTCAGATATTCAGAAAATGTCCTGCAAAATATACAGATCTTCTGCTTTTTTTAAGTGACCATAAACTAAATATGTCTGATGCCATCATCACAAACAAACAAAACAACCAAGAAAGTCTTGACCAGGTTTTCTTGGGCATCTGTTCGGCAGGGGTGGGGATTTCACTGAAAGCCAAAATATTAAAATACGCCTTCAAAAGCGACTTAATTAGAGACTTATTGACAGTGTAAACACCGACAAATGCACTTTCTGAGTAAACCAATAATATCCCCCATCAGCGACGACTGGATGTGTGTACGTTGTGACCTCAGGTAAACACCGCAGACCCACATGGACCCACATGTGCAGCTCTACGTGTGAACAAAATGTCCTGCGTAAATGATAAGTGGACATTCCTTATCAACAGCTTTTCTTCCTATTACACAACCAGCTTGAATAGTAAATAATGATGATGCAGGGGTTAGAGCAGCCCTTAACCCCCCCTACACCTGCCCGCTTGTGTGTGCGTGTGCGCTTTCAGCCCAGTACTTCTCCATTTCGACACCAATGACTGGCTAAAGGTCAAACTGAGACCTCCACCTCAAATCCTCTGGCTCTTCACAGGGTTTACAAGTTTAATGACTAAAGGCTCAAGAGCTGTTAAAACTGACTCCTTTAAGTCAGTGTACCTTATGCCTCACTCACAAATTCATCTAGTTTGTGTGATCCTTACGTATCTGCTGTCTATTTTGCTCTTGTAATCCCATTTCTCCTCATTTATCATCATATTTTTACTCTTTATGCATCATTGCTAATAATTTCATCCCAATACCTGTGCAGTAATATACTGAAACGTTAGCCTCGTCAGGGCCTAGGCCCCCTCACGACCATATATCGTGGTGACACCCCTGGAAAATCAGTTTAGGACTATATACAAAGGCATAAAAACTTTAGTTCTTTATATATTTTCAGAAAGTCTGATAAATTCAGAGAGGCACCAAAATAAAATCATGCAGAAGGAGGATGCTTTGACACAGATGAGACAGATCCAGGGGGTGCTGGACTCACCTTGGCCTGGTTGATGATCAGACCCATGAATGTGGACACCAGCACGGACCGGGACAGCGGGTGGCTCCTGCGCCTCATCTCCGGTCTGTCACAGGGGAGAGCGGCCGGGTCCTCCGGCACCGTCACGGTGTAAGAGTGTCGCAGAGACGGCATGTTCGTTGTCCGATAGAAAGATTGTAGCGTCATCCAAATAGCAGCTCCAAATCGCGCACACGCAGGTCGTTCACTGAAGACGAAGTCAAGTGTAGGTAAATGGATGCTGAGTTGACGCGCGTGGGATCCCGCTGTGCGTGCGCAAAGTCAGTATGTCTCTTCTGTATCTCACCTGCACGCAGATCTCCTGTGTTGTGACTATCAGAGCGCGTGAGCTGGAGTTTTTACTGCGTGCGTCCCCTCCCACTCCGAAATGACTGGTGCTGCCTTTACGTGCTGTGGGAAATCTGATTACCTCTACTTTGCGCATCGACAGGTGTGAAATAAGCAGCTGTGACCTTCGATTAAATCACTTATTCAAAAACCTGTTTCAGGAAATCAGTATGTAAAGCATTGCAAAGTCCGTTAAAAAATTTACAACTTTTGTATATTTAATGACGCCATCCACAATTTTACCTCCTTACAAAAGCAAAGTTTTCTAAATTACATTCCCTTGAAGTACACAGGAATGGGTTGAAATTTGTGCTCCTCATAACTACAGGAGATCATCAATCCATCCATCAGCTGGAGCCTGTCTCAGCTACCGTAGGGCAAAGGGGGAGTACATCCTGGACAGGTCGCCAGCCTGTCGCAGGGCGACACAGAGAGACAGACGACCAGTCACACTCACATTCATACATGTGGGCAATTCACGATCAATAATTAACGTAACTCACTTAATGTCTTTGTTCTACAGGAGATGTCTGTATTACATTTTCATGACTTAAAATGAAAATTAAGCTCTGTTAAAAACTGCAAGCAAGTTCATTTTTGTTTGTTTCTTTCTTTCTTTAAACACGTGTCACAATCTCTATTTTTTTAATGCAATTATTAGAACCCACTTTGAGCGTCATTATCATGGGTTTTGTCAGAGTTTCAATAGCAAAACTGCACCAGTTTTAGAGCACTAACTACTAATGCTGTATGTCATTATAGTAACTTACTATAATAGCTTACTGTTAGTAAGCTGTTTTACATTATTCTTAAAGTGACGCTTAATTTAAGTTTTACTTTCAATGACAATTCTTAATAAATTCTTACAGGGACTAGAAAAAGAGTGCATATTTCTTGCATATTGGCATCTTGCTTGCGGTTACTTGAGTTTCAGGCTCCAGTCCTGTGGAAACAGCTCCCAGTTTGTGTTTGGGAGACAAACACCGTATTTACTCTCTACTTAGTTTGTCCTATCATGGGCGTAACTTTGTGCTGAACATTGAGGGGTCGAGAGCTCCGTCTAAATAAATAAATAAATCTGGGTAAATTCCCAGATGATTAAAAATGCAACTATTTTGCTGATAATCACTGAAATGAGTGAAGAAAATCAACAGCCTATTTATGCAAGATAATTCATAATTTTATTTGGAGGGTCATAACCCCCCTAACTTGTTTTTCTTTGTGTTGTCTTGTTTTTATGTGTTTATGGGTTTTATTTACTATACCTATCATCCATACGTAAGGAGCTCAGTCTGGGGGGAGTTCTTTTTTCTCCTCGTCTTTCCTCATGTTGTGCTTTTTCCATTGTTATACCTCTCTGCCCCGTCTTCCCCATGTGATGTTTGTGTAATGTATGTATGGTTGGAAGGGTAAGATGGCACTGGGGTAAGGTCGACAGCCTTCACCCAATTTCTTTCGGGGCCAACGTTCAGGATCAATAAAGTTTTATTTAATTGAATTGAATTAAAGGTCCAAAACATACAATATTAATTATAATAGTTCAAATGTTCAGTTGACTCTAATGTAAGTAAACAACCTGAACACTTTTTCTCTAATAAGTTACTTTGTTACAATAAGTATTGCATTGTATGTAAGTAAATACAATAAAAGTCATATTGTAACCTTCTGTTGTTTTAAGAGGTGAATATCTTTTATACGAAGTACACAATGTATAAGAAGGAGCTTTACATTTTATGGCCACGTGGACAAAGGTAATGTTTGAGCTTGATCACAATTTCTTTCAGCCTATCAGCTCTGATAATTCAGACACAGCTCAAAGAGCAGCTGATCTCTTGTATTGTGTGTTTTAATGAAGGATATTCATCAACAACAGCATAAACGAGGAGGCAGAGATGAAAGTATTTCTGCTTACAGCTTTCTAACAAGATGTTTTCAACATCACACAGCAAGGAATAGTTTGCTGCACTGCTATAGGAAAGAAACAGTCATGTTTTATCTCAATGATTTTGGTTTATAGAAACTATATAAAACAGCTTTGAGTTTGATAAGAGGCTTGTAAACTTTAACAGGTCCATGTTAGCTTCTATGATTTCATCTACTGGCTGCAACGGCAGGACCATTAAAATCCTGGAGCAAAGTCCGGTGGCCTCATAGTCACGTAGCGCAACGCTTAGCTGGTGAATCAGATTTTATACCTATATGTAGCACTGCATGAGGAAAAGGTGAAACCACGCTTTTAGTTCCACAAATGATGTCATTTTGAAAATGACATAATCGAAAATGTGGACAGAAGAGATAGAAGAGAGGTTGAGGGAAGTCAATCATTAGTGTCCTCTGGATTTTATGAGTATTAGCTCCACATTTAATGAGAATCTGACCACTTACAGATTTGTAGCACATAACATTCAAACATGCAGCCCGATCCCCGTCAAACTACCACACTGTGGAAAAAATGAATGTGCACTAAGTAGGTCAGTGAGGCAACGCCTGAAACAATAGCAAAGCAAGCACAGCTAAAGGACAGAGTTCGAGAATTATTTTTAATCAACCCTATAATTAAACTCTCCATACGCACAGGAAGAATGAAGCTTCTTGACATTCCAGCCATGGATAATTGTTACTGCATGTTAAACATGACACACATTTCACTGGGTAAAGCTGCAGGTTTATCAGGGAGAACTGGCTTAGTAGCTTTCGATGAGAGGGTGAATTTAGGATGATAATCTGTGAGAGTTTCAGTAATTGTTCACTGTCTCGTGTGCTGCTGCACTGATGCAGCTGGTATAAAAGAAAAAATAAGAAAAAGGGTTTTTTTTGTAGTTTTTCTGCTGATTAAGCTTGACCTTTTTCCTCTTGTCTAACCTTTTGAACTCTCTGTAGCAGCACACTCAGAGAGAAACTGTTCGCTCACCCAACCCACCGAGTCACAGTGAGTCACCTGGAACAGCATGTGTTGCGTTTCCCATCGTCACAATCTGTATTTTGAAAATGACCACAGACTTCAGGTGAGGATGATGAAAGTGTTGCAGATGTTTGGTCCAAAACCAACCTGTGAACCCGATACGAAGGAATGGGTTTACTTGAGTCCTTACGATAAGTGTTCAGATATTTAAATCAGGACTACATCCTGAGGGTAACATGTAAATAAACATACCTAAAAAATAAAACCGAAGCTGTGAGGTAAACCGGGCTCCAGAACTGAAAATGAAACCAACATTAAAATACCCAGTGACTCCCAACAACCAGTCACCAACTGGTTGGGAATACACAATCATCTACAGCGACCAGTGGTTGCCAAGTTGGTCACCAACCAAAAGGAAAACAAATGTGTGAAATCATTTTGATGAGCTTTTAAATGTTTATTTTTTGAAGTTTTCCCTGTGTCACACTTCGTAGACGGCCCCTTAGGGACTCGTCTCACAGCTGATTACATAGAGACCAGTGCTGTTTGTCCACCTCAGATAAATTTGATGGAAATGTTTATAGGTTGTTGCCTGCAGTTCAATTCATATATTCATATATTTATTTAATATTTAATAATTATTTGAACCTAAACAATCAGACGACCCTGTATAAACAAGCATTTGATGACAGCAGGAAGGAAAAACTTCCTTTTTCACAGGAAGAAACCTCCGGCAGAACCAGGCTCTGGGAGGGACAGCCATCTTCTACCACCAGTGATGGGAGAGTGACAGGATAAAAAAAACATGGTGTGGAAGAGAGCCAGTTGGAACGATGCATCAGACATTTTGATTATTTTTAATAATTCTGGAAGCTTGAATCAGTAAAAAATGTTGAAAATGTTCGCAGCTGTGCCGATTTCAGAACTCCAAAATCACAAAAATGGCTCGACTTGCCGTTATTTGTTTACTATCTGTTATTAAATGTTCACTTCTTACTTTGAAGCACCGAGACCCTAAATAGTCAAACAGCCGCTAAGATAGCAGCTAATTCATTCAGCATCTAGCTGGTGTCTGCAGTGAGATTAGCTGCACACACTCTTTGAATCAGGTTGTGTGTTGCCAGGTTGCTTCAACAGATGGGTGGAAATTGTATTTAGCAAGCGGACTGTTGATTAATAGCAAACCAGATGGTCCCTCTCCTCTTTAGTCCGGAGGGAGTGGTGTTCAAGTTCTCCACAAAGAAAACTTGGACTCGTCTGAGCACAGAACAGTTTTCCACTTCGGCTCAGTCTCTTTTAAGAAGACAGCAGCATTTCTGGATCATCTTCACATGCGACGTTTTCTTTGCACGATAGAGCTTTAACCTCTGTGAATGACACAGTGTTCACAGACGATGATTTCTGGAAGTCTTTCTGAACCCATGAAGTGGTTTTTAATGCAGAACACAAATTTTCTCCAGATTTCTCCAGATGTTCTGAATCTCTTGATAATTTTATAGACTGTAGATGATGAAATACTCGAAGTCTTCACATTTTCACATTGAGGACCATCACTCTGAAATTGTTTCGCAATTTGTAGAGTTTTCATTTATTTATTTTGCTGATTGGTGATCCTCTGCCCGTCTTCACTTCTGAGAAACTCTGCCTCTTTAAGATCCTCTTTTATATCCAGTCATGTTACTGATCTGCAGCCAGTTAACCTGACCAGTTCCTCCAGCTGTTTCTTGCTTTCTCTTTCTGCATTTTGTTGACGTCATCCTGAGTTTTGTGAGACGTTGCTGCCATAAAATTCAAAATAAGCGAATACTTTCATGACATAGTGAAACGTCTCAGTTTAAACATTTGATATAATTTTTTTTTGTATTGTAAAAACCTTAATTTCTAATGAGCTACCGTCGTGTGTCTGATTATATGGGCTGGATGTTGTTGTTTAGCAGGATTTATATGCGTTCAAATAATTTGATTTACTTCAAGCCTGTAATAGATGATTAATTATTAACCTGGCTAGTTAATGAAGGAAATGTACATTCTTACTGTGCACAATCTCATCAGCGTTGAAGTGTTCAAGTATCTCAGTTTGAACCATGGTGAATTAATAACAGGGGGAAATTGCACTTGATAAAATTGAGATAAGAACCGAGACTGGGATAAGACCTCTAAATAATAATCATGCCTGAAAGCTGTGTTATGCAACCAGCCAGAGCACATGCATGCCATAAAAATTAATTAACTAAAAAAAACAAATGCGCGTTTAAGGTCGGCACTGTGAGGGAAACTCACCCTGCCAGCTCTGCCCCAAATAATTATACAAGAAACAATTGCAACAAAATCACACCCTGTTTTAAAGATGGCATTAATCCTCTCATGCAAACACTTCCACTTTGCTGCTCCACGCCCAGGCGAGGCCTTTGTGCCTGTGGAAATACTCGTGCCTGAACAAACCCAGGGAATCCTTTCTTATAAGCTATGCAATTACATAAAGTTTACACTGAGTCACTCACTTAACTGCTTTCACAAAGAGCAGCAAATAAAGAACAATGAAATACCAGCAGCGTTATGAAATGAGGAACAGATGCACGCTGAAATGCTTTGGTCTGTTGTGGTTGGTGACTGTGGAGGACAGTAGAAATGCAATACTTTTACACCCGCCGATCACTTTCTGAGGTGCAGCTGTTCTTCAGCCTCTCAAACAACTCATGCAGGCATGATCAAGACAAAGTTCAAACTGTGAATCGGGACAAAGGTGATTAGAGTGTCTTCGAACGTGCCGTGGTTGCTGATTGTCTAAATATTTCAGAAACAGCAGATTTACAGTGATTTTTCCACCCAATCGTCTTTAGTGTTTCCAGAGCGTTGACAAAAAAAGAGAAAATACCAGGTGAGCAGCCATTCTCTGGAGCAACCAATGTAAAATAACCAGACAGGAAGGCAATGGTAATTTAAATAACCACTCATTACATTCAAGATGCAGAAGAGCATCTCTGGATCCAGAAAACATCAAACCTTGAAGCAGATGGGCTGCAGCAGCAGAAGACCACACTAGCCAACACTTCTGACAGCTAAGAAGCTATACTGGTCACAGATTAATTCAAAATGTGTTACTCAGTTAGATTTAGGTACACAAATGAGTCTGTTAGGTTTACACATTAAAACTACCAGGTTCTTGTGCTCATGGCTGGCACTTCTTTCACAGGTCTGTCCCACATTCGTACTGCAGACAGGAAATGCACTGATGAAGAGCTGCTGCAAGAATTACTGAAGAAAAGAAAGGAGGAACCTGACCGCTTAACTCTTTCCACCGTAAAGACAACATTTCACAACCCTCCCAGTACCCTTCATGGCGAGTTTTGACACCTCGGTATACATCAGTAAAGATGTGGGTTGAAGACCAGCAGAATAGTTTTCAGGTTTTTCCAAGGGTAGCTGCATAGGCAGAGACCACGCTCAATAACTTCTAATGCACACCCAGTCTATAAACAGGCCTGCGATATGGCAGAAAGTGCACTGTTCAGAAAAGAGAAGCAAGGATTAGTTACTGCTCGTTGGCTTTCAATCGGTAAAGAGTTAAATGGACCATTAATTGCATAATAAGTGTTTGCATTTTATTTAGATGGAATGCAAGTCCAGCTGACGGAGCTCTGCACACTGTCGCACTGAAAAGAAAAGGCCGGTTTTGTAACCCACAGCGAGGTAAGGCTCACTGTACAGATAAGAATCTGCTTATCTGCTGAAGTAGCAAATACACTGAACATTCCTGAAGGACAATTCACGGCTCTCTGAACACTACTACCCTCTCCAGTTTTACCCATCCACCCAGTTTTTAAACTCCTAAATGGTTAAGTAGGGTTGCAGGGAGCTGGAGGCCCCTGGACAAATCAGAGGGCAGAATATGTGCGTGCCTCTGGTAATTACAAGAAGGCTTTAAGTGCAGAATATATTTAGTGACAATAGGTAACAATTATATCTGGAAGTGTGATTCACGAGCACATGTTCACACCCAGAAATACACACTCCTACAAACTTACATAACCATGGACACAGAATAGACTTTGTATGGGAGGGAAACTAGGCCTCGCGCTTCAACTTTGTTTTCACTAGCAACATATAAACAGAGCACCTTTGTATGACATTTACATAATCAGTGCCCCGACTGACCTGCGTGTGGCAGAGCAGGTCAGCTTAACCTTTTATCTCAGGCATTTCCCAGCTTCCCTTCTGCTTCAACTAAAAGCAAAATTGAAATCAGCAAGTTTACCAAATTATTCTTGCGGAAAAATATTTGCTTTGAATATTTGCCAGGTCAAAACACCTCTGTGGGCACTTAAAGGTTGTCGCTAGTAAAGAAAAAGAGGATCGTCTAGAGTCCTAAATCAGCTGTTAACTGCAGTTTCCGTCTCTTTTCAGTGTGAAATTGTGTCTCCTTGTGCAAAGCGTTTCCTTAATGTGTACTCTTACATCAAAGCACTTGTGTGTTAACAAGTGCGGGGTGAGTGTGAAGCATTTGGCAGCTCCTCATGTGTTGCTGGCAGTGCTTCACTTTCCTCTCAGCTCAGTTGGTACTTGGACTTTATGAGGAACTGCAACTGCTTCAGTCTTCAGTTAAACCATTTTGTGTTGAAATTCATAACTGAAATGCCAAAAACTGTGTCCTCTGGCTGTACTCTTTAAGCTGCCTTCCTACCAGAGGGGCACAGCGTGCTGCAGGAGCCACTGGACTCACGAGGTGACAGCAGAACTTTGCAGCTGCATGCTAGCTTGTTAGAACACCAAAATCAGAATCAGAATACTTTATTAATCCTTAAGGAAATTATCTGGGTTATCGTTGCTCCAAAACAACCTTAAAGTGGACCTGGTACTCTAATTTTCAGCTGCATGTTTTTTTCTTTGGTTCTGCCAGAGTAGCTTTGTCTGATTTGCAGTTCAAAATAATCCCTGTTTATATTACTAAGCTCACAAACAGAAGGTTTGAAGGGGAAGCACAGAGGCAACAATGGAGGGAAGGCAGGTGGTTTAGCCTGTGTCTAATGCCTAAGAGTATTACTTTGTGAATTGGCTATAAATGTCTAAGCCTGTGCTTTGCTTGTGTGCTTAAATAAGTTTCGCCTCACAGGTCACCTGTTCTCAGCATTCAGGTGAAATTTCATTTAAAGGGGTCGATATGAACCAGACCCTACCTGAAACAGGCCCAGTAGCTCATCGCTCTCTTTTTTTATACTCTTAAGGCAAATTAAACGGATCAGTTGATGGTTTGTTACTGTCTTTTCTGCCCAACTCGTTTGACCGCTGCAGCCTCACCTTCCTCCATCCGCCTACATCCTCATTAACAGTCAGCTGCAGTGAGATGTCACTGACAGTCGGCGGATGACGACAGCGAACAGAAATCCTTCAAAGGAGCGACTCCCTGCACTGTGGAAAGAATTTAAACAGATCCTGACACTGGCACAGTCATGAGTGAGGACTGGATGACACATCACTTAATTGTAGCTGGAGCTTGTTGCTAGGAGACAGCAGCTTGGAGTGGATGTTTACTCAGCGTCAGGAATAACGTTACAGTGAAACACAACCAAAAATGTAGCCTTTCAATTTTTTTTTCAGGTGACAAGTGATGTTTTAATGCTGTGTTTATGAGTAAGTGTCGCCTCTGACCAGCAAATGAAGAGCTCTGCTTCGTAACCCCGAGCTCTCTCGCAGGGCTGCATGTTCTGCATGAAATAATGCGTGACTCACACTGACTTTGAGAACGTCTTCATTTATTTATAGCAGGGTGGTGCTGCTCTCAAAGAATAAAACACCTCTTTAGTCACTTAGTTTTAAACAACACACACAAAAAAGATACCGATTATTTAAAAAGGTCAGCGATGACACAAACCACCAAACTGACCAGGACTGTACATTTGTACACAAAAGGCAACAACTACTCTGTTTGCTTTTTATTTTGTGTAACTGCACCAAAGTGTCAGCGTTTGGAAGAACTTTGAAGGATCTGTAAGATGTGTGGTTGACGTTTATTGACATTTAAACCTTTAAAAGCAGCTGACTGTGAGCTGCAGATAAACTATCCGACACCTGCTCCACTCCTCAAACTGAATTCATGCAATGAGTGTTAGAAAGTACACTGAAAAGCACGAGAAGACCGAAACTAATTAGTTCAGAAATGACACGAAAATTGGGTTTTTAATGGCACAGCTAAACTCATCCCCTGTCCCCCTCATCCTGGGTACTAACATAAAAAGGTAAAAAATTACACCAGTAAAGCAACATCATCAAAACCACTCACGCAGGTGAAGTGAAAAATATTGATCAACTAGTTAAAATGCAATTTTTTGATGGGAAACTTTGGGTTTCTTTAAGAAAAAATTAACTGTCAATTGCAGTTTGGTTAAATTTAGGCAACAAAGCAACTTTTTAAGGTTTAGGACAGACTGCGGTTCTAATCCATGGTAGCCCCACTCGAAAGCATACAGACGCCAAAGGAGTCAAAGTCCCATTCCCAGGCACTAGAGGGCGCCCCCTGAGGTGCAGCGAGTCAGATCTGTGCACAACATCAGGCGGGTGGTTTTAATGTTGTGGCTGATTAACATTTTAAACAGATACTTCACACATAAATACTTCACTTCACAATGCATCACCCTTTCACACAGTTTTCTTCTTAGATAATCCCTAACCTCCTTTTCAGCCATAACCTGCTGTAGGTTTTATTGGTTTAGAGCAATAAACCGCACAGTTAGGAAGCAATTATATAAGATAAAGTTTGTTCGCTCGTTTCTGGGTAAAGGTTTGCACTCTGACACAGATCTGCAGATGCTCAGTTGCCAGTTTCTTAATGAAATCTGTACAGTTTTGCCATTTTTTAAAGAAACAGCATGTTTAAATGTTACATACAGTAACCTCAGCTCTTCTTCCTCTCTTAAGCTTCTCATCAAAAAGTCACACCTGAGCCGTAAAGTCCATAAAACAGCATCATACTTTTGGGGAGACTCTCAAAATACTAAATGAAAGTACACAATCACATGAGTAGCAGAGTAGCGCCAACCTCAGGCTGAGTATAAAAGTGAAGCCCAGGGAGTTTAAGCTTAAGCGTCAGGAAGGGGCTACTGTTTCTGGATGGTTTTCAGACCAGGGTATGCTTTAGGTCAGGCCCAACATGGGATCAGCGAGCCCACGAACATAAAGCACTTTGGTTTTTCGGTCAGCTCCACCCTTCAGTCCTCACACCCAGTCTCACCACACCAAGGCGGCAAATCCTCAGTTCAAGGTTTCAAAGACTGGACTTTGCCATGCCCATCTTTTATTTATAGTTTATGGTACTTATAAACAAGCTTCTTTCCCATTTCGATCCAAATGTCATGAATATGTGACCTTGTGACCCCTGAATGACGTCAAGTCAGCACAATAACTATTAACTGCTTGGTTTTAAAATGTAATTTAATTAAAAAAAATTTCAAATTAAAAGTTTCTATTTTACTTTTTTGTTTCATCTGATTATCAGTTTAAAATATAAAAGGTAACTTTAATAAACCTCTCCACTGAGAAACAGGAAATTTACAGTCATTTAAATGTAATTTATTCATAAATTAATAATAAAATAGTTTGATGTTTACATTTTGATGGCTCTGTAAATCAATTAAATCACAATCATGAGGGTTTCTAGTTGTTGCACCCCACCTACTCATTAAGATCTGATCACAGTTTGGACAGAATGGGATTTATGAATAGCTCACACTAGGGTAAAAACAGTCAAAACTGATGGTTGCCTGATTACTGCTGTGTTTTGTTGCTTTTTTTACGTTTTACTTGCAACTACTTAGTGCAAACATATAGTTAATTTTCTATTGCAAGGTAGTTGCAAACATTGCCTGGTGGGAGGCAACCTGTCTCCAAGCAACCGATCGCTCTCAGACAGATTGGTAAAAGTTTGCAAACACAGACAAATTGCTAGCACGCTGTAATCAACTAGTTGTATTCTGGTTATAAGCAGCAGCTACGTCACCATTTATGGAGGAGTGTAGTTAGTGGGAATTTCTGATTAATATAAGTTTGATTTGAATGCGATTTGCAGCAGATTGATTCATAATCACTATATTATCACAAACAGACTGAATGCAGTTGCCAGTTTGAGTGCATTCAATTGAACGATAGCAGACTGACGTCGTCTTATTGTTACACTAAGGTCATTTTAAAGATGGCATCTGACTAAGTGGTCATAGACCCGATCCTGTCTTTGAAGCAACAATTTCAATGGCAAAAAAAAAATCGCAAGTTCATTGCACACAGTCGTGATCTCCAGCCACTGCTTTCCTTAGTGTGACTGTAGAATAATATCAGGTATAAATACAAACAGGTGGGATCACATTTCACATTCCCTGATGATTTACAATTATGCCTCTTTAACTAATCAGTTATATTACTGTTTCTTTTTAATTTAGCCATTGTCTTTCCATAAACATCACTGTGTGATTTTAGCTGTTGTACCTTCAAGTTTTTATGTCTAGGATTGGAAAATTACTTTCTTTGGCACCATCTGGTGGTAGCATGCATAATATGTTAATTTCCTATAAAGAAATTTGTAAAAATATGTTATAATCACATGAAAACATCTACACATAGTGGCTTTAGGTGAGTGATAAACAGTGGGAGTCCTGATAAATGTAAATGAGGGAGCAGATGGGGATGAAGAAAAACACAACAAAGCAGTGAAACTGACTGACTGTCCATGTATCTAGAAAACTGACTTACCTTTTATCAATGAAATGTGGAGACAAAAATTAGTCGGTGTACAGTATATTCTGTCTTGACTTTCTGGCTGAAACACAGCTGCTCTACTGGCTAATCAATGATGATACTTTGTGCATATTCAAGTCTTTTTGTGTGTTTGATCTTTGTCATTTATTGCCTTCTCTTAGCTCACAGAGCGTTAGGAGAGGAGAAGAGTGTGAAGGTGAGCCAGGAGCACGGAGATCGCAGCGCTGACGCTCAGCAGAGGAATCGCAGGTGTGATGTTACTGCTTGAGCTCACGGCTGGAAAAAAAGAAGGGAGTATGACAACATTTGTGAAATGTGCATGTGGTGGAAATACTGTCTTAATGCTACTGGTTTTTACAAATTACCAGTTTAGTTTGTGTGCAGCATGCAAAAGCTACAAGAGTTATAAATATATGGAATTCATATGAACCAATCAATTAACTAATAATTAAGTTGAACGCCCTAAATTTTATGATTTAATGCACAGAAACTTGCCCACTTTTTTAGTTGCAACGTTCAACTGCTCATTAATGCAAATGTCTAATTATTTAATCACACGGCAGACATGAATCAAACAACCTGCTGAAGTTTAAACTGAGCATCAGAATGGGGAAGAAAGGTGACTGAAGTGACTGAATGGGGTGTGGTTGTCGGTGCCAGACTGGTCTGATTATTCAGAGACTGCTGATAAGCTGGGATTTTCCCACACAAGCAGTTCTAGAGTTTACAGAGAAACAGTCTGAAAAAGATACAATTTCCAGTGAGTGGCATTTCTCTAGCTGGAAAAACCTTGATGATGCCAGAATTCAGAGAAGAAGGGACATATTCTTGGCACCGTTTGCTGCTGACCATGCCGTTCCTTTTTGACCACGGGCACTGTGGTTATAAAGGGACACGGCACGTGAGTTCTCTGTATTCAAAGGGCCTCCACATTCGCCGGATCTCAGTCCAGTAGAGCACATTGTGGTGGAGATTGACATCATGGATAAAAGCAGTTCTGAAGGCATAAGGGGTCCAATCTGGTACTTACAAGGTTTACTTAATAAAGTGTGTAGTGGCTGTATCTACAACACTTAAACTTTATTAGCTTTGCTTCAATCACTCCAATTGTGTGAAACATGATGGAAACTGTAAACTATTGAGAAACATGCAAAACCTGCTTGGTGACCCTCGTGTGTAGTTTCTGTTTTTCTGGGGCTGATATTGCCGCGGTTTAGGCCATGCTATGATTCAATAAGGTGGGAAAAAAACCTTAAAATTAGGTATTTTTGTCCTTACCCCGGCAGCTCTTCCCATCTCTTTGCAGCATCCCAGTCACACAGCTGCAGATGGGCCCAGCGGCCTTACTGGTGCAGATTTGCTCACAGCCTCCATTGTTCTCCTCACACCAGTCAGACTCTGAAAACACATCAGAAGCTAACCTACGGCTTTTTGTTTTTCCATAGATTACTTAAACAATAAACTCTAAAGCGTGTATTTTACCCAATAAGCTATTTTCTATCTAAAACTATGCTCACCTCTTCTTCTTATGGGTCCAACAGACAGTATGTGCTCTTTATGGTCACTGTCCTCTGAGTACATTCTTCTCTTATGTGGACAGTTCTGCACACACAGTTCATTGATACATCAACACCCAAACACACAGCAGGACGCTTTCTGATTTTTATTGCTCTTCTTGATTTACTCACCACTTTGCAGGCGTTCGTCTCTGAGTCGCACAGAGAAACGTCACAGTGCAGGTGGACTTCATCGTAATCCCCGATGAACTTGAAGACGGTGACGTGAAAGCGGCAGGTGAGTGATACGCCATTCTCTGCCATGCCAATGGTATTGTCCTTAATGTTTGGGCACCTAGAATAAGCAAGATATTAAATGTGCTGTAGTCAAGAAGGTGGTTGTGGGACTTGGGAGGCAGAACGGTCAACAAAAGGTGAGCTTTTAATATGGATAATGTCAACATCCAAACTAAACAAAGTCTTAAAAGGGAGTCCAAACACTGATCACAAATGCAAAGCACAAAAGGCATGACAAAGACCCGAGCATGCGTGTATAACTAAGAAGTACCCGCATGACCAGATAGATGACACAATTAAGACAAAGTAGAGGGCAGGACTATTTATACACATACATGACTAAGGAGATAACTCTTGAGTGTGTATAAATAGTCATGGAAGTAGTGTTCCTTGGAAACAGGTGAAAAGTCATACAGGAAAGATGCAAAACTAAAGCAGGAAAGGAACAACAACCGTAACTGACGCAGGGAGGGTTTAGAGGACATGCTAAACCTGGATGAACTAATTCAAGGGGAACACAGAAAGACAAAGTTATTAATACAAAAAAGAGGGGAAGGAAGTAAAAGTAATGCAGGGCATAAACAGATACTCAGGCTTCAAAATGAAGCAGGACGTGAACAAAAGACAAATACTAATCACCGAGTTTAGAAGACGCGGACAGAAGGACTATGGACTAGAATTACTATATAGTAAAAGTAGGGATCAAAGACTTTACAATCGTATAATAATAATTATAATAATATCACTAGAAACAACACTTACTACTACAATAATAAAACAGTAATAGATTAAACAGGAACCCAAAAGTTACAACAATAAAGAAGGAATCGAAAAATAATGCAAAACCGTTGGGCCGTGACATCCATAGTGCTTTATTCTAAACACCTCAAGCACATTATCTACCTCACGTAAATTTAGAAAAAACAATTTAACTAACATGCCGTGGCGTGGCCTGTTGAGGAAGTACCCAGAGACACTGCCGGCACAGTGAGGGCGTGCAAAGGGCATGCACAGTGACTGTATTTATTACTTCATGTTCTTTTTCTCAAAATGTGTGGATCAGACTATAAAGGTCATCTTAAAGCAGCAGACTGTAGTGAACCCATAGGCTTCATAAAGAGCTACATACTTTACACCGATCACACCTCAACTTCATCTTGGATTACATTAAGAGAAAAAGAAGGTAAAAAAAAATGGTTGAGTTTAAAACATAAAATAAAATCTTTTTTTTCCCACCTCTCTTTTGAGCATTTTTGGTCCAGGACTAAATAAACCTCACCCTCTCTCAATGATGATGTAGCGGAGTCGATCACTGCTGTAGCGCGACGGCGTGGCCCAGCACATATTCACTATAAGGATGAGCTGGTTTTCATCCGCTCCTTCCACAAAAACGCCTACGTACAGGATGTCTCGAGTGCTGAGCACCACCTCCCCCTCTCTGTATGGATGGCGGTACGAGGAGTTTTTATACAGAGCCATCTTGGTAATGAAGTTTCCTTCCTGGGTCGGTAGGGTGAGGTTAATGACGCTGGAGAAAAAAGGAAAAAGAAATGACTATCCAAGCGTTGAGCCGTTGTGTCACACTTGTCGGTGCATATTTGTGTTCTGCTGCCTGACCTGAGCATGGGTTTGAGGACAGTCTCCAGTGAGATCTTCAGGTCCAGCTCATAGGCGCAGGAAAACTCCACGTTGATGGTCTTGTCTCTGGTGATGATGTTCCCAGTGTTGTTCACACTTTCTATCCACACAGTGTTTTTATACATGATGTGTGTGCCGTTGGACTGTAAGAGAAATAAAGCGTAGGTGACTCATAATTTCAAATTTCTACATTAAAGGAACAAATTATCCTAGCTGCTGCTTTTGATTTCACCCATACAAAAAAATGTAAAACATCGTACAGACAGAAGACATCATAAAAACTAATCATTTAGTAATAATAATAATAATTAAATTATTAAATAATAATTTATTCACCAAAAACATTAGCCAGAATTAGCCAGAATTATGAGGATTTAAGAGCCAGGAGCTGCTAACGCACGTCTATAAAAGCAGAAAATTTGACATCAGCAATAAATATAAAGAAGCAACATCAATCTGAGGAAGTTATAAGACTCTGTTGATCACTTTAAAGTGAAAAATATTATTCACATGAGGAACACATTCATGAGTTGCCAATCTTCCCACAAGTGGATATCAAATTTGGAGTGCATAAGATCTTTTACACTGATGAGCAGGGGTAGACAATCGAAGGGGCGGGTCTACCAAACAATTTTCAGCCAGTAGGAAGGGGGTAGGTTGTCTGTGCCAGTGCCACCTAGCCAGCCAGCTAGCAGTGACAAAATTATTCATTGGCACGTGTTGTGGCAGTTTCAGTTAAAATGCTGTAAATGTTGCTTCCAAGATAGTGTAGACCAGGGGTCTCAAACTCCAGTCCTCGAGGGCCAGTGTCCCGAAACTTTTCCATGTGACCCTGGTGCAACACACCTGAATAAAATTAGTAGGTCATTAGCAAGAATATAGAACTTAACTGCACGCTGAAATGTCAACCCCTAACCCTAATCAACTAAATTTAAGTACCGTATTTTTCTGACCATAAGACGCACCGGATTATAAGGTGCATTAAGTGAAACAAAACAGTCAGATAATCAAACTTTACTCAACTCATTCTTCTTCTTGCCTCCACTTCCGTACCATTGATTCACTATAGCTGAATTCTCTTGCAGCTGCTCTATTCCCGCATTGTTGCAGTACATTAATGACTAACCTCGTATTGTGGATGGATTATCTCAGTTGTTCTCCTGACTGAAGTTTGGTCTGTTTACAGCATCCTGCCATGTGATTGCATTTGTTGCTAACCATCGGGAACTCTCCTGTTAACTTTTATTGAGTGGAAAAAGTTAGCATTCATCCTCTAGCTTCACTGTGTTTATATTATGCTAACATAGCTGTGTTGCTAGCCACCATGTAGCAACCCTACAAACGTCACTGCTGTTTAGTTTTCTGTCTTCATTTATGTTGGAAGTGATAGCGGAGCTGTAAGTTTGAATTTTTTTTCAGAAATCTCTCAGTCAGAACATGCTACATTATGTTTAGGTGGAAACTAGCGAGCTAACTTCCTGCTAACTTCCTGCTAACTTCTAACTCTGTTAAATTTAATAAATTCTGTTTTCATGGATCCCTGGATGTTAAGCTTAATTGTTAAACCTGGTAAAGCAGCAATGCTGATCATTTTATTACAGATGAAAGAATTTAGACAGTTTTTAACTCTCAGTGATGTCGCAGTGTTCGTTTAAAAAAGTGTGCGTGTTAGTCCCCATAGGGAAATAGTTCCTCTGCATTTAACCCATTCACCCAGTGAAGCAGTGGGCAGCCAGTGCAGCGCCCGGGGAGCAGTGTGTAGGGACGGTACCTTGCTCAGGGGTACCTCAGGGTAGCCATTCAGTGGAGTCGAACCCCCGACCTTCCGATCATGGGGCCACCACTCTACCTACTGAGCTATCCCGGCCCTTTGACTTTGGGACCTTAAGTCGACGGAGTTTAGGACCCAGATTACTCGTGAGGCTCCTGACTACGGTAGCCGCAATGCTCCGACAATCCATCAAGCGGTGCGGCTTTGTAGCTTACCAAAGTCAAAGTCTACTAAAACATTTTTTAACAGATTTTTGAGCGCCATATACCACATAAAATCGGTTCGAGATCAGTAAGCACAACCAGAATTCATACATAAGGCGCACTGTCGATTTTTGAGAAAATTAAAGGATTTTAAGTGCGCCTTATAGTCCGGAAAATACAGTAAATGTAAGTGTTTGGAAAAATTTACTTCTTAAAGTACTTTTATTGCACCATGTTCATTCACTCATGAGCTGCTGTAACATGAATCAAATGGCTGAATTGCCACCTCAGCATGCAGTCAAGTTCTATAGTGTCTTGGAACATGGAAAAGTTTCAGGACACAGGCCCTCGAGGACTGGAGTTTGAGACCCCTGGCAGATCGTGTTGACGACTACATTGTAGTGTCTAAAAGGATCCAAACTGAGATGCGGGGAGCTTTATCACATTTCGAAAGTGATGACGAACACGCTGGAACACAGACGATTGCAAACTGACCTGTACAATGGAACCGCAGTGTCCCTTAGTGTTGTTAATGTGGAAGGAGATGAAGTCCTCTCCCTCAATGCCAGCGCAGTGCTCGTCGTTGATCCGGACATCTTCCCGTTCAAAGCCCAGCTGGAAGAGCTTACACTTGGAGATGGAAACCTCCATCTGAGCATGCTTACAGGTCACCTCCGCTTGGATGATGTCATCCTCGCCTAACAAACATCGACATGAAATACATGTTTTTGCATGTTGCAAAAACATGTATTTCACGTTAGCCATGTATTTCACCATAGCCATGATTAAATAAAAAAGTATTTTTTAATAGCTTTTAAAATGTATGGCTAATCAAGTAACACGGAGAGTGTCAGATATTTAAAACTGAGTGATTGCAGCTGGATGAAGCACTCACCTTCAGAGTTGGTGGGTAACTCCGGACAGCCACACAGATCGCCTCCATTCTCCAGCTCACAGGTGAAGTTTGTGCAGATCTCTCCTGCACAGGGGTCATAGATCCATTCTGCTAAAGACAGGTCCACACACAATGTTAACTGTCACACAGATGAAGGCACAAAGTTTTTAAGAACATGCACGTATCTAATACTGACAAAGCAGTCAAACAAATTTACATTTCACGTCTCATCGTAGTAACACAGTGGTCTTGATGGAAAGCAATCTGGAAATCTTAGCAAACTACGCTCATAATGTGTGAATCAATAATATATGAGACCCAATACTTTCACTTTTAGTACGTCGGGTAAATTCAGCATTAGCGCTGGTTTATATTTTTGTAAAGTGCAAAGTTGTGTTTATTTCCACAGTGGGCATTGAGTCTGAGAGAAGTTCACGGTGCCCTTACAGCAGTTCTCTTGGGTGATCCACTTGGTCGTGAGGGTGCCCATGGACCGGCAGGCTTCTGCATAGGCGGCTAGTGATCCACAGACCTGAGCCTTGCGATGATTGTAGCAGCCATCCAGGTAGCAGGACTGGTAGAAAGGACGGGGATCCAGCAGGCCGTGGCATGGCTGGAAGAAGCCTTTGAGCTGGGTGAGCTTCTGACAGGCATCTTCACTCTGTAGAGCCAGGATGGCCGAGTTGTCACAGGACTGAGCCAAAGCCACGTACTGGGTCTCATCACAACTAGAGGAGAAAGACCAAAATCCAACTGTCAAAGGTATTAGGACGCGAGCAAAGAAGGAGCAAAGGCCCTGTTAGAATTGCTCCGTTTGCTATTATCTGTATAAATGATTTGCACAAGTGATATGTTTTAGCAACAGCCAGTTAATATCCAGGGTTTAAGACATGCACATGCTTGCAGACGCATGGCTTATGGATTAGGTAACCTTAACTTTTCCTTTTATATTTTGAGGATAACAGCCAAAGGTTTTTACAAGAACTGGTTATGTGGACCGTAAATTCCTCCCCATCTGTGAGCCTCATCTACCTGTTCTGCATGCCGTTGGTCTTCCAGCTCTGTGCCAGCTCCAGGGCGCTGACAGCCGGCTTGCCCCTTGAGGTGATGTAGTCATCATTGGGGTCCCCATTGAAATTCCCACAAAGGCCGCACACCTTGTTCTGGAGCCGCTGGCCCATTGTGATGCTCAGGGTGTTAAAGTGGTTGTAGCGAACCTGGATGTCCTGGGGTGTGTCGATGACAATGAAGCCCTCAGATGTGGACAGGCGTGTCATCAGCCCTGTTACAAATGGTACGGATACTGGTGTGCCATTAACCTGTGAGGACAGGAGAGGCAGACACATGTAGATTTTTGACTCGGGACACAAGAAATTTTTATTTAAGTAACCAGCATTAAGGCTACGGAGGGCCTCGAGTGCTGAAATGCGTTAAATAAATACATCATTAAATAATTAATTAAATCTGTTAATGAATTTAAATTGGAATTAGCTAATTAACGAAATACATACATTTAATTTATTTCATTTAAACTTTTTAAAAAATGATTTAATTCCTATTGTATATATTTAATGACACATTTAATTGTTTCACTATTTAATACATTTGTTGTCAATTTTAGTGAATAATTTCATGGTTCCAGTGCAGTATGGAAGGCATCCATACAGATGATTAGAGCAGCTCTCTATATGTTATAATGGGAAGAACAGGAGGAACTCAGTAAAACAGGTGCAGATAGCAGCAAATACACTGGTCCATTCTGGTGTTAGTTGCCACTGTATCAGCGGTGTGGCCACACTGGGTGTCAATGAGTGGTGTTTTACTTGGTGAACAGTGGCATCCCGGGCAGCGTCTTTCACATTTGCTAGGTTCTACTAGCTTAATGTGGCCTCAGAGCCCACATTAGCTTCAGCTGTTCTGCTGCTGGCTGACCAGGAAGTTGTTCCTTGTGACAGTACTGGTACAAGTCATCTGCATTGTTTACTCCCACTGGCAGACAGGGGGGAATGAATCAGAACAGAAGTTACAAAGGTAACTATGATTCTCTGAATTCCAGGATGACTGTCAGACCTGCTGGCGGCTAAAAACGTCTCAGTGTGAGAAGATTCCCAGAGACCAGATGTAAGCTACCACGTAGTATTTATAGTACACACGCTTCTGTAGTGTACACATCATGCACGCGATTTTATTTCCGGACCTGCGCAGATCATGAGGAGACCCATCTACGTAGTTTCCTGCCATTGGCAGTTATCTGTGAATTCACAGAACTATAGTTATATTTGTAACTTCCATTAGCAAAGTTGCCACTAGAGTGTGTCAGGCCACCCTCATGGAACAAGTGCCAGAAACATGCTGGAGGTCATTTTGTTAGATACTTCCACTGTCACGCTCCTCATTGCACAACGGAGCAAATGCCAGCCCTGCTTCTGGGTGGATGTACACCTGTGGCCTTGTCTAGCTTGTGTAACAACCCATCTCCTGGTATCTCCTCCACACCCTCGAGATCATGTTTGGAGACACAACAACAACTTTCTTGCAGCGGCGCACAACCTAAATGCGAAACACGTGTCATCTCATGCTACCAGCAGGGAAAAAGGACACCAGCTAAAAGCAAAACTAGAGAAAAGATCAGGAAGGATAAGCAGAAAGCTGTGGTCTGTGACCAACGCCTGTGAAACCATTTCCTTTCTCGGGGTTGTCTTCTTGTTGCCTCTCTGGTACATATTTTTATCAATTTATTTTGAAAGGACAGAAATAAAGGGACAACTCTTCCATTTGATACAAAGTGGGTTGGAAGATTAAAGCAAAGCAGTCACCCATGTTTGTGGTCACTTAGACTACAAAAAGTTCAAACTCCTTGTTATTTCTGAACTAGCTCATCTAAAATGTGATAGTAAAGACTGAAATATTTCTGTTTATACAGTTAAAAATTCAACATATTGAAGGATTGTTGAACTACAGAGCACCTCAAACTAAACCATTTTAAATCCAGGAGGCACTCCTACTTAGATGTCCTTTTTCTGCTTACATTTGGGGATTTAGGAGGGGTAATGCTGGGTAAAATGTATTGTCAGCACTAACTGATATCCATTATGTCCTAAAGACAGCATCTCTAAGAAGCCAAATGCAAGTAATGCATTTTTTGATAATTTCTAAATCATGTATATAATATTAGCTTTACAACTAACAGCTCATGTTAAGCATGTTTTGTTTTGTTTTTTTAGTATGGGGCTTGCAAACCTTAAGATAGAATATCTGAGTAAGAAGTTAAAAGTTACAGCCCAGGTAGTTTAAGAAAACTTTCCTGTAGTTTAGGGCTGCATGTGTGAAAATGAGTATATAATAGCATGAGTAGTGGTAACACCATGTGGCAGCATTTTAAAAACTCTGCAAGACAATCAAAGATGTACATTCCCCATGTTTTTGTAGTTATATTAACATAAATACATTGCCATGTTACTGACATTGAAGCTTAAACATGATCACCTATGAGTGGGAAACAAAATTGGGCTGTCATTGGTATAAGCTGATTTCATTCTTATACAAAGATTGGCTGTTAGGATAAAACAAAAAAGAACAGAGACAGTCCGAAGCAAAGATTGTGACAATCTGAGCCTCTTCAGGGCATTAGAACTAACGCCAACATGCTTCTTAAGGCAGTCAATAAAATTAATGAATGTTAATGATGGCGCACTCAGATCAGGCAGGATTAAGACTCAGTGGGAGCTGCAGTTTAAAGCAATCAGTCATTAGCTACCTCTGTGACTGCACTTACAGCTGACTGACATGGCCTAAGTCCAGAGCTGGAGGAGATATAATAGGCTATTAGTGCCAAGGTAATTGGTAAATTGGGCTGCAGGAACTTTTTCAAGTATTTGGGAAAGAAAGAGAGACTTGAATCCGATCTGTTTGTTGAGGTTGATTAAAGCGTCTTTGACCGCAGCCATATGGCCAGCACACAGTAACTCGATCACATAAACAAAAAGGAGAAATCTCCTGATGGAGGCAATTTTTCTATTAAAGCAGGATTAAAAGAGGAAGAAACTGTGGTGAAAATGAAAAGCAAAAAAAAAAACCCTCGGTATATAGAGTGTCCATTTCATAGTGTGATGGTTTTAGTCACTTTATGGTCTCTAATGGTAAATGGACTGGTTCTTATATAGCGCTTTTCTACTCTGAGCACTTAAAGTGCTTTATACAACTAATTCATTCACCCAATCACACAAGAACTGCCTATGTAACATTCATACACAACATGGGGTTAGTATCTTGCCCAAGGATATTTGGCATGCTAGAGGAAAGCCAGGAATCGAACCACCAACCTTGACCTGCTCTACCGCCTGAGCTACAGCCACCCCATAATGTGGCCAAGTTGTTGGCTGCATATTTCTGTGTAAAGTTAATAACCTGTTACGACTATCTTTGACTGTGTTTCAACATGTACAATTATCCCATAATCATATTTTTCTTTTTTTGGTCACAGTGTCGTCTTGGTAACGAAGGTAATCTAGGCGTGCTGATTTGGTCGGCACCAAAGGTGCACAGAAAGGGTGGGAGAGTTTGCTCTCTAAATGTGACCACAGTAAAGACAAAAACAAAACATAAATAACATTTAACTGGTTGAAACACCAGTTACACCAGAAACACCAGGCCACTTTATTCAAACACCAGTTTGAATAAAGTGGCCTCCCATGATTTTATATATTTAATGTTATATAATGATTCAGAAACACAGGTAATGGCCGATAATGCTTTAAAGATTAAAATCAATGTCTCAGATCACGACACTGATGAAAAAAAGAAAAGATACAGAAATTAATGTCAAATATGGAAAAAAGTAAAACAAACTTGTGCAATAGCAACAGTTAGTGCAAAGTGGCTCCATCGTGTAGTGATTTACTCGTTCAGTTAACAAGTGAACGATCCCCAGTTCGATCCTGGAGAGATAAACAAATCCCCTTTGGATCTGTGACGACTGCTTATGAATAAGTAGCTGAAAGTAGCTTTCTTACGGCAAAGTTGCAAAAATTGGTTATTTTTTCCTCAGAACCTGGCTGCCTAGCAACAACCAACAACCCAGGACACTAAGCTACAGAGGAAGTTTACTAAAAACTAAAGTAAATGATTTTCTTCTTCTTTTTGGCTACTTCCTTTAAGGAGTCGGCACAGCTGATCATCTCAACCTATCCCTTGCATCCACCACTGTCACACCAACATGCATGTCCTCCTTCACTGCATCCACAAATCTTCTCTTCCCTCTTTTTCTCCTACCTGGCATATTTCACATCCTTTGCAGAATATATCCATTATACTCATTTCCAATACAACTTATCTTCAGTATTGTTTCACTCAAACAACTTGCGACATTTAAGAAGAGAAACCATAAGAAACATGATTCAAGTAATCCTGGGATAAACGTGCACGTGTCAAAGTCACAGAGTTAGACAGCTACACAGTGTGTGGCCTCTCTTTATGCTTATCTTCTGCTTTACTTCACCTAGCCTCTTACCTTGACAGTGCTGCCAGAGATGAGTATATTCTCCTCATTTATATACAGGTAGACATGCGAGATGGTGGTGAGGTTGGGCGTGCTCCATTTATCAAAGTTGGCAATGAGCTGGAAAGAGAGGTCGGGCAGCTTGTGACAGTTTGTGGACAGGACGAAGGAGCACGAGGCCGGCAGTCGCAGCGATGCCCCGTCGAATGTCCTGAACACTCCGCCGCCTGATGCCACGCACTGCTGGGAGCGGCGGGCAAAGCAGCCCCGAACCCCGTACCGGAGGGTGCACTCCTCCTCTGCCTTGCATCGCCTTGGATTGCACTGGATCAGGTTTCGTCCAATGCACTGGCAGCGTTTGGTGCAGTCGGCGTTCCAAAAAAGCTGCTTGGGCTAAAATAAAGAAAAACTCTTACGATTTTATATTTGCAAATAGTGTTTTAACCAAGGTTACATGCAACTTCCAACTTATTTTGGACTTTAAGAGCTTAATGGTTGCACTTACTGATAGATCCAGAAAGGTCTAGTTAAATTTTTCTATATACTTTCTATATTTCTACTGCACAAAATAACCCAGACATTTAAACATTTATAATATATTCATGCACATAGAGCTTGGTGGGAGACTGACCTCATAGTATGTGCCATCGGTATAGCAGCCACAGTTCTGAGAAAGGATGCAGCTCTTGCCGTTGAGCACGTAGCCCTGGTCGCACTGGCAGCCCTCCACGCAGTCCTGGCTGCAGTCCCTCTGGCCGCGGGCTGGTGCACACTGGGGCGGGCAAACTGACATGCAACTGGAGTAATGGCTGTTAGGTGGACAGCTCTGGACTGGGAGCAGGCAGGTTGGCAAAGATATTAGCTAACAGTGACACTAACTCCACTCTAAAAATGTTTGTGGTGTTAATAAATCTTTAGTGTTTAGGGGTAAGAAACAGCTGGCCATGTCAAGAGCTCATGCAGATGTGCAGCAGCTGTTTGGCCCTTTGGGTGAAATATATTTTATCTTTATTATTATACTATTTATTATTTCGGAGTGTAAGAAAGTTGAGGTGGACTTCAAACCTGGTTATCCCTGCTTAGAGAAAACATCCAAAATAAGAACCTATTCCATATAAATACAGTTTTAAATGCACTAATTATCATGATGTAGCTCATTTCCTTATAGAATAAATATACAAACACAACTTAAAAATTACAATTTGTGGTTTTAATGATTTTATCTTAAACCTGCATAAGGTGGGTGGGATAAAACCAGATTTATTTTGCATTTCTGATAATTCTTATCTCTCTGATATTTTTCAGATGAGCTACTTTCTTTGATTAAAACAGCCATTAATGATGACACGCTGTTGCTTCTTCACAACACACAATCTATTTTTCCTAGAGGCAGATGCTTCAGCTACCAGGCTTCTGGAACCAGCTCCAAGTCTGGATTCATGGAGCAGAAACTCTCTTTAAACTTAACTTAATAGTTAGGATTGGATCAGGTGAGTGTAAACCATTCCTTACTTCCTCTGCAATTAATCTCTGCAGGCAAGAAAAAAAGGTTTTGGTGCCACAAGTTTTCTGGTGTCCTTTTGCAAGCTTCCCTTGCATGCAGATAAACAATCTATGTGGGGAGCAAAACAGGGATGGTACACGCTGAAATGCATCAGATAACTATTATCTGCTGACGAAGTTTTACCTTTTTTATTTGGATTTTATCTGGTGGTTATACCAGCCAAGTCAGGATAATAGCCTGTGGGTTCTCAGACTCAGGCTGGCTGGAGGAACTCCCATGATGCACTTCACCTCTACTTCCCAGCTTACAGCCATCACACATTCATATGCTATTATTACTTTTTTTTCTCTCTTCATTCTCTCCTCATTAGAACCTGCCTCTCTCTGAGTTTGGTTCTGCTGGAGATTTCTTCCTGTTAGACGTCATTTTTTTATCCCCACTGTCTCCAAGTGCTGCTCATAGGGCACTGGTTTCTAGCTACGTCCGTGTAAATATTATTCATTTAAACTGGCCTTAATTTTAATTATAAATTCTCTCCAGTAATGGTGCACACAAACCTGAAACTTAAAACGGTGCCTGTGACTTTAAGAAGGAGAATACATCTTGTGATAACACAATGGGAAAAACTCTACAAAAACGTCTCCTCACCACACGGTGTGTCGCTCCTCCAGTCGGTGACATGCACCCCTTGGGTCTGACAGGTGCTGGCATAGATCTGCAGCCAGTTACAGATTGTATCCTGAGCTCCTTGATCCAAGCAGGTGTCCTGGAGGCAGCTTTGATAAAAGAACGCTGGCGCCACCTTGCTGTGACACCGTGCAAACACGCCTGACCGATCAACAAGTAACCCACACAGCCTCACTGCCTCAGGCTCCACAAACACATAGAGCCCGTCACCGATGTGGAAACGTATGCCAGTGCTGACTCCATTTGCTTCATCGTCGCTCCCAGCGTTCATGTTGGCATCAGCCACCATGAGAGGGGTGTCGTTTTGGGAGCTTTTCTCTCCGAGGCCACAGCGCGGGCAGGAGTCACCGCAGCCCACCTGGCAGAAGGTGTCCCTCTCCGCCCAGGCCATGCCCCAGTCGGTAGTGGAAAGGGTGGGTGGGGACAGAGGCACGCCCTGGCAAAGGCCACAGGTGGAGTTGTAGAGGTCGCGGGGTAAAGTCAAGAGCAGGAGAGTGTTCCAGTCAAAGGCCACCTTCAGGCCAAAGTCTGTCTCCAAAATGAGGTGCATGCCAAAGGTGAAGATATTGACCTTTCCTGGGCCCAGCTTCAGGGGAAGGTACAGTCGCTCCTTATTCACCTGAGTGAAGAGAGAAATCATGTAAAACTGGTTAAAGATTTAATATAAAATCCCAACTAACATAAAATCATTCCTACAGGAGCAACTTCTAGAAACAGAAGTTCAAGTCTCTAATCTAACTGACTTGTATATTTTCCAAGTATGTGGGGAAGCCCAGGTGGTGAACAGCTACTATTAAGACTGACTGAAAGAGTTTCTGTGAATTCCTCTCAGTATAATTGTCAGAGCGAGAGCGAAACGGAGAAAATTAAAGAAAGAAGGGTGTGTGAGCGAGTGTGTGGGTGGATGTGTCATTTATGTTGCTCCTCAGATCTTTTAGTCGCTTTGTGAACCTGGTCCAAATGTCGCTCAGGGTCGAGGTTTCGTCTGAGCCAAATCCAGGCCGATAAAAGATGCCCATTGAAATTAGATCCACCTTAAGCCAATCAAAGAGGAATTCACCCTCTGCCTGGTTATTCTATCGGCTTGATTAGAAATAACATGTCCTCACAAATGCAATAACTTCGACCTTCACAGGGCATGCAAAGAAAATAAAATCTGTTGAAGATTACCTCATTGCACAGACATTCTCATATATCAACCTAATGCTTACCGTGACAGTGTTTCTGTAGCTTCGAGATGCTTCAATTTCATACTCATAAACTTCCAGCACAAAACCCCTCACCCAAATTGCTTGGCTCGTGTCTCTGTCCTCGTTACGAACCGCCAGTTTAAATGGAGGAAAAGTTCTGGTGATGGGTACGTGCGCCGTGTTCCCCCTCCCACATCTGGTGGTGACCATCCTGAGAGTGCAAGAGCTCTGCAGCTCGAACGGCACTCCGCCAAATGGCAAAAAATGTCCATAGCCAGCTGCCACACACAGGGCCTCAGAGCGCGGCTGGCAGAAATACAGGCCGTCATTCTCCTGGCAGTACTCCTCAGGGTGACACGGCGCGAGCTGACAGTATACGGTGTTGTCAGAGCCATTGCAGTAGCAGCGCTCCTGGCACTCCCAGTCTGTCCAGAAAGTCTGGTTGGTGGCCAGCTGACGCCTGTGGTAGATGCAGCCACAATCTCTGCGTGCCACGCACAGGCCATCCCGCAGCGCGAAGCCGTCTTCGCACTGACACCCCTCCTGACAAGGCAGGGGGCACGGCTCTTCGGGGTCGTCCAAGTTGGCACAGGTCAAAGGGCAGGCGCTGGTGCACTCATCAAAGTGACTGTTCTCTGGACAGGGAAGAGCTGAAGAAGAGTGAAGGTCAGGGAGAGCAAGACTTAAGCCAATGTTCAGTCAAATATCTTACATGTGTTTTTATGTTATCCTCTGTATGTGTAGTACAAAATACACTGTGTATCACAGTCACAATACAAAATCACTGTAACTGGTTCCAGTTTTACTTTCCTTCTGACAAGATAAAACAACAGCTCCAAACAAGTGAGATGATAGAAAGAATCTAGAGACCATTGCTACAGATGAAATTAAATAGTTAAATATTAGGTTAAGTTATTGTTGGGATTTTTTTTTAAAGAAAACGGAATCAGGTGACCCTCAACCCTTCCTTAGTTATACTGCAGTAGACCGCGGCTCATGGACGCTTCCCATGATGCACTGAGTGTTTTTCATCTTCACACACTTCATTTCGCTCTCTTTGTGTTTATACACCACTCTGCATTTAATCATTAGTTATTAATAATCTCTGGCTCTCTTCCACAGCGTATATTTTATCCTGCCTCCCATCCCTCACCCCAACCAGTTATGGCAGATTGCCGCCCCTCTCCGAGTCTGGTTCTGCTGGAGGTTTCTTCCTGTTATAAGGAAGTTTTTCCTCTTGGGACAATCCACTTTTATAATTCTCATGCAAAATATATGAAAATACCCAGTCGCATTGTTATTATTGCTACTGGAACAAAGTTTTCAACAGTGCTGGTGGTAAAACTCAATAATAACTTACAATAAACAGGAGGGTTAAATGTGTTTTCAAGACACATTATACATTGTTGGGCTCTGAGTTATCAGAGCCCATCAGCAAGACTATGTTTTTACTGTGTTTATTTTTGGTTTTTAGCCTTTTTCTCTTTTTTTCTACTTTTTAAAAGTCATGATCAGCCTTTGTTGTTTTAAAAAAATATGAATTTAACTTTTTAAATTCGTTTTTTAAACAAACAAAGGGGTGGAACAGTGGTGCAGTAGTGAGCACTGTCGTTTCACAGCAAAAAAGGGTCCTGGTTTCTAATCCAGCTTGGAGCTTTTCCGTGTGGAATTTACCCTGGAGAGTACCTGTATGGTTTCTCTCCAGGGACTCAGGCTGTCTCTCACAAACACATGCACATTGGGTTAATTGGTGATTGTAAATTGGCCCTAGGTTTCAAAGTAAGTGTGCATAGCTGTCTCTCTCTCTCAGTCCTGCGAAGGACTGGTGACCTGTCCAGGGTGTACCCTGCTCCATGTCCTATGGCAGCTGAGATATTCTTCAGATCCCCCCTCCTTATCCAATATGGATAAACAGAACAATAGCTTAGCCACTAGCTAGTAATGTATATTTCTTGCAGAGTTTTGGCAAAGTCCTAGAAGACTTTAGAATTCATTTATATGTGTTTGGGGGTAAATAGTCTGGACACACTGCAGGTTATTTATACCAAATTTTTACTATAGACACTGCTGCTCACAGTCTTTGATCACAGGCTCAGAATTTCTTGTTTTTTCCTAATGAAAGATTGCAATCTGTGACACCAAGACTTTGGAACAGTCTCCCAGCCCAACTGCAATGAGCTGACTCTGTGGACTTCTTTAAAAAGCGATCTTAACTTGATTTTGTATTGCTATTGCTTTTCGATTATATTTTACGATGCTTCATCCCAGTGTTTATTTATTTTGATTACATCTTTTGAATGCTTGTCTGTGAAAAGGCTTTATAAATAAACTTTACTTACTTAATTATTAGATTTAGTCCGTGTATGCATCTCTGTTTTGGATCTACAGAGAAGAGTTTGATAATCGACAACTTGCTGATCTTTCTAATGACCAGCAAGAGGTGACTGCTCTGATTTCAACAAGAAATCCAGCTGTGTGAAAATCTATAGAAAAATTTCGTTCAGTGCCCTTCATTTGTGCTTTAAGTAATCACTTTTATATATGTTTATGGCCTCAGCTGCTGCTATGAAGTCATCTGGACTAAGTTTATGGTCCCTGTTAGCCTAAAAATGGAAGATGATGCAGTGTATAGTTTAGGGGATGCCTTGATTTTACAGTCATTTCCCGCTGTTTGTAACATGGCCTTTCAAAACAACAAGCTCGCCAGGGAAAATGCTCAGTTTGAGACCTGACAACAGGCCCTCACTAGCCAATGGTTGACGTAATGGTTCATCTTTTATATAGATGTAATAGCCAAAACGGTTACTCACGACAGTTGGTGGTGCTCCTCCATGAAGCAAGTCCTACTTGAGCATCCTGACAGGCGGTGGCGTAAGCCTGCAGCGAAGAACACAGGGCTGAGCGGTTCCCTTCCCTCACGCACATGTTATACAAACAGTTCCTGAAGAATGGCGAGGGGTTAACCACTGCGTGACACGCAAGAAAGGAACTATTCCCGGGGTCGTTGATATTGCCGCACATCCAAGGGCTCTGATAAAGACGTAAGTCTGTGCACATGCGATACAGGTCGTCGCAGTCGCCATTGCAGGTAAGATCATCAGCAATGGAGCGCCAGCCGTCTGTGAACTGTTCGATTGACTCTGCCTGGCGTCCATTGGGTAGGCGAAGGTCATCGGTTGCATTGCTATTGAAAACACCACAAAGACCACATGTAACATTGTAGAAGAGGGTTGAAAGGGAGATATTGAGGAATCCTTGATGTGTGTAGTGGACACGAAGCAGACCGCGGGACTCCACCACTGTTGCATTGCCCGGCGCTCTGTATATCATCATTGTCTCCATTGGATGGACGTATGGGAGCAACACTAGTTCACCATTCACCTGCAAAATAAAAAAGTGAAATATATTCAGCTGGTTCCAAGCCTCATTTTCATTGGACTCAAGAAGGCCTTCATTAAAAAACCGTTCATGTTCCAAAGTGCATTTATGTGAACTAGTTAGTTTAATTAATGCCAAAACCAGATGGCAGTTTTCAGACTTATAATGTCTGAGACATGCTTTTATGGTCACACTCTCATATTGCCTCAAACAAATCTCAAGCCTATTACAGGTGATTAAAAGCAAACAAAAATGATGATATGCTGAGATCATTTTTAAGTCTTAACATCAGCCTTGTTCAGCACAAACATTTTTTTTCTTTTAATGAGGCTCTCTAATGACTGGAGAGAGATTGTGGACTGCAAACATAGTTGTGTTCTTTGCTTCTGGCTGTTTGACTTTATTAAATTTCTCCAGTTTCATAGCGTCCAACGATTACACCTCCAAAGAAAGAGAGCTGCTCTCTTGTTTATTAATGTGGCTATAATATATAACTATTGTGTCAACAGATTCTAAAGTTAGATACATTTTTCCATGTTTAGAAAACCTTTAATAGGCTAATAAGCTAACATTTTTGAGCAACACAGACAGCAGAGATGTGTATTATGAAGCAAGATTTTGTGACTAAAGTTGAAGACATAACCCGCTTGGGGGCAGATTATGTTTGAGATTAGAGAAAAGAAAATCAGAAGATATGAATTCACTGTCTGGTGACCAATCAGCTCCCTGGATCAGAATTTCCAGAAAACCTCTGTGCACAGATAGTAAGAGGGTCTTTTTTCTGTTTCTGTTATTTAAAGAATTCTTCAACAATTTTATGTAAGCATTAATATAATATGCTAAAACAAAGTTTTCTCAGTCGTTCAGAAGATATTGGAGGCCTTTTATCTATTTCTTTTACCTAACAACTTCCAGTTCATTTTAGCTAGCTAGCTAGCATTCCTTTAGTTAAAATATTGGTACGTTGTTTTTTTAATTTGCAGATAGCCATTTTAGCAATTAATTTGTTCATTCATAGTGTTAGCTAACAGTTTACATTGCTAATGCAATCATTTCCCAAGCACTTCAGAGAACTTATTCATTTTCCAAACAGCTTTAACTGTTAGCCACATACAACCTCTTTTAACAACCCATTTGTTAACACTACGACTTATTCTTCTTCCTCTTTTGGCTGCTCCTTTTAGGGGTCTTTGTGGTGGATTATCTGCTGCCATCTCACCTCATCTCTAGCTATTAATCTGTCAAAACAACCTCATGCATATATATCCTCCTTCATTATATCCACAAATCTTTTTCCTTTGTCTTTGGCCAACAGTAGCACAGTTTCCACCGCCACTCTGCTGGCAACTGGAGCACTGGACCTGGCCAATCTGGTAAGAAAATGGCATTCTTTGTGATCCCCATTTTTGATTTGGTACAGATTTTATTCCAGGACCCTCTTTCTGTTGCTACTCTTCCTATTTTTCCAGATATGGGACTCATAGTAGATGTAGGCTTGACTGGCTTGTAGTCCCACTGTGGTTGTGTTCATTTGTTTACCGGATGACCATTGCTGGCTGATAAAAATAATTAATGCATTTATTTTTGCTGTTTATTTCTATTGCTACTGCTTATGCTTGGGTTTGAATTCGTTTTTTCAGCTTAGACCTCTACCTAAATCACAATTCCAGCGTTTTCAGTTTCAATAAAAGCGAATCTGTTCATATACTTGCGGCAGTGCAGAAGTCTCCACTCGCTATTTTCCCAGATCCCAAAAAAACACCCCACAAGATTTTTACTTTTTATGAAGAAATACTAACCTTGACTGTATCAAAATCCAACCCTCCCATCTGTGCCTCCACGTTAGCTAGCGTAACTACCACAGGTCTTTTCCAAGCAGGCCCTTTGTTGACCAACCGCCGGCCTAGCTTCACCTCCACCATCGAGCCGTTGGCTGGCACTGGAGCGCACAGCTTCAGTAAGTAATAAGAGCTGTCATCTGGGAACGACAGGAAGGTGCCATCGAAGGAGGATGTCACTGAGTTTTGGGTGACTGAGCAAACCCCTTCTCTTCGAGGGTAGCAACCCAGCAGGCCAACCTCTGCCTTACACACCTCACCCTCCTTACAGGAATCATTGAAACAAGAAACTTCCCCAGCAGGCCCACAGGTACACCGGAGGGTACATTCTCCTTCTTCACCGCTGGGACCTACCCAGAAAGTCGTATTAAGGGGGTAATAAAGGCCATTATGCTCACAGCCACAGTCTTCACGCTGTACACAGCGGCTGCCACTGAGAATATAGCCTGGGTCACATTGGCAGCCCTCAGTGCAAGGATGAGCACAGTACAAGGGAGCGGTGAGGTCTGAGCAGGAAGCTGGACAGGCGCTTGTGCACACTTGATACTGGCTGAAGTCTGGACAAGACCAAGCTAAGAAACAATAACGGAGAAGAAATTAATTCTGATTTCATATGGTAGATAAGTGCTTTCATGTCAAATTTAGCATTAAGCAAACTGAATCTCACCACAGAAGGTGCGAGATCTCCAAGGTCGTATTGTGACACCAAGGGCCTGACAAGCCAGTGCATAGGCCTGGATGGCCTGGCATAGAGTAGTGATGTTATCCTTGTTGCTGCACATATCATAAACGCAGCTGTACACAAAGGCTGTAGGATCCACAACAGCTCTGCAGTCCCTGAATGGTCCATCAGTTTTGTTAATTAACCCACAGTAGTCAGACCGAAAGTAGAAAGCTTCTGCAAGAGGGTCACACATGCTGCAGTTCTGTGCACATCCATCTGTACACCTCCAGTCTGTGTCCTCTGCCCTCCAGCTGCCTCCCAGCTCCACTACACTTTCTGCCAGAGTGCCATCAGGTAGTACGGGATCATCGGCAGGGTCATCATTATAGTTGCCGCAAAGGCCACAAGTGTTGTTGAAGTAGGAGCTGGGTAGGGAGATGGATGCGTAATGTTGGCCATCGTAAGTTACCAAGAGTCCAAAATCAGTTTCTAAAGCAATGGCAACCCCAGATTGGTACACCCTGACAGCACCAAGCTGGAGTTGGACTGGTAAAGTCTTCACCAAGCCATCCACCTAAAGAGAGAAAAAAGGATGTTTTGGTAAGGGAACAGGTAGAAATCATTAACCAATATCTAGACAGTGTATCCAGGAGGAACGCGCTATGTGCTTATCTTCTGTATCCATAGATTCTCACCTGGACTGTTCCAAAACTTCCTTTTGGCAGCGTAACTCGGTGACCATACACCTCCACTGTGACGTCTCTAAGCCAGGAAACAGAGGCAGCTCCACGGTTCTCGTTTTTGGCCTCCACACTGAAGAAGGGCAGCCCTGCTACCTCCCAGCAGGGCCGAGCCAGCAGGTAGGAGCAGGTCCCCTGGAAGTGATAGAGGAAGCCATCGAAGGTGTGATAGTGGGGGTCTCCGAATACCACACAAGTGCTGGTGCGAGTGGGCTGGCAGTAAAAGGCTCCTTCCAGCTGCTCACAGGTTTCAAGCTGCCCACACGGAGCCTCTTGACACTGCACCTCATTATCGATGTCAAGGCAGCGACACCGCTGTGAGCATCTGTCAGACAGCCAAAAGATCTCTCCCCGTCTGTAGTAACGGCCTGGAAAGGATGTAGAACAAAGTAGCATTTCATGGACTAATTTTAGTGAAGAATTCTTTGCAAAGAGTCAACCTGCATGCACATTATCAGTGTTTGATGTTTGACTTGCCATTGTAGCTGCAGCCATTGGCAGGATTAATCAGCTCAGTGTCTACACGGAAGAACCAGCGCCCAGGAATATTTACATTAGTTGTTTGTTCAATGTTCACTACATCATTTGACCGCGATCCCGGCAGGTTGAAGAAATGGCCAATATCTCCACCATTAAAACCTGACTAAAAAGGGGAGAGTTGTGAGTCATATCAGATTGAATGTCCAGAGGATAATTTCTGTATACGAAAAGCCTTATTGTCCTTATGAAATTAGGAGGCACAGTGAGAATACCTGAGCTGTTGTACCGCCCAATCCTGTTAATGGATCTCCACCACTGGCTGTTCCTGTGCTCCATGTGATTTCGCCGTAGTTGAACATACTGAAGAATGCCACGCCATCTGAGATGAGTACAGTTTGGAACGTGTTCACCTTTAAATCAAACAAATGGATTAAAAAGATTTTAAGAAAGAAGAAAAGTGAATATACACTAAACAAATGTATAATGGATGAAAATCTTTTTTTTTTCATGTAATTAACACCCACAAAATAGACAGGAAACTTAAATACAAAAAACCTGTTCCTGATTTAGCGTCATTTTAAAATTATGTTGCTCTGTACAGTGATGAGAATTGCCCACCTTGTTACAAACTGAAACAGTTGAAAACTTCCTGGATATTTTCTTATGTGTTTCTCTAAAAAGTGATCTCTCATATGGCACTTATCTAACCTTACTAACCATTAACATAGCTTGACACAACAAGCTACTTTCAACCATTCATACACACAGCAGTCTTTTTGTTTCACATACACACAGGCACACACCGGGTCTGAAATAAATACCCACTAACTGCCAAAAACGAGTAGATTTTCAACTTGGTGGGTTAATCGTGGATAGCTTTCTGCCACACAAATAGAACAATGTAGTGAGTTGCTTTGTAGTTAAACTGATAAACTATTAATAAATATACCTGAAAAGGTTTTGTTTAACTTTTGCTCCTGCCTCATAATTCAATTTGTATTAATGTGTTATCTATACAAAAACCTATTCATGTGATAGAAAAAGGCAGTTTTAGCTGGTTAAAAACATTATTGAGTGGTGCAGGTTTTACTGCATGAGCCCCTTTTGCACATATACTATATGGACTAAAGTAGTGGACCACCAACACACAAACAGGAGCTGCTCATCCACTGAATGAAGTTCCCAGTAACAGTTTTTGTGCTGATGTTAATGGCGATTTGAAGCTCTGCATTCACTGAGTCATCAGAGCGTTGGCGATTGTTACACAGTTTGTGACACTGCTCTGTAACTTTACGTGGTCTGCCACTTCATGGCCGTTGCTATGGATCCTACAGACATGTTTGGTGAGCTGGGGATGAATTGTAAGCTTTCGAATTAGTAATTCACTCTGCAGCTAAACCACCCAAAACACATTAATTACATTTAAATTGCAAAATAACTGTTTACTTGTCCAGAAACAGATGTTGGCTAGATTTGAGAAGTCTAAAGTAAAATATAGCAAGCTAAGCTGGGTAAACTACATGCATCTAACAAAAAAATACAATATAGCTACAAATAACACTTAACCTAACGTCCATCCATCCATTCGCTTCCGCTTATCCTTTTCAGGGTCGCGGGGGGCGCTGGAGCCTATCCCAGCTGTCGTAGGGCGAGAGGCAGGGTACACCCTGGACAGGTCCTTAACCTAACGTATTTACATTATTTTATCTTCCTCATTTTCTTTGGGATGGTAAAGAAAATTGCATAGGGACCATAAAATATCCTCAAACACACGTGTATAGCATTATGTCTGAATGGCATGTTAGTTCTTATAATGAGTGTGTTTGAATCATATATGGCAACCAGGTGGCAATTATTGAGGCTCACACATTTATATACAGTACCAAAGTCTGTGTACACATGAGAAATACAGCAGATGAAGCAGATGCACGTGGGGCATATTTTCCCCTTTTGATCAGCCAGTTCCTATCCACATACTGGTGGAAGTGAATGACCAGAATTCAAACTATGCCAGAGTTAAAACTTTACCGGAGTTGTCTGGCTTCCTCCATAGAAAGTGACTTGGTGCCATGTTGAAATAAAGACCCATGTGGCAGTGAAGGTGGGCATGTTTTTGAAATACTTCCGGACATCTTGTGTTGCCCTTTCGAGAATTTCTGGCTCGGTGGTCTCCCGGTAGTACACGTCTCCGCGGATGCCATTGTGCACATCTGCCCAGAGTGGAGCAATAAATGACCTGCTGTCACTCAGGGGAAAAGCCTCTGGTGTGAATTGGCTAACCTGCACGTTGAAGGAGATTACACCATTGTTGTTGACCTGTGAGAGGAAAGAAGAGGATTTTTATTTCAGTTTCATGGTCCAGCATTAGTTAGCTTTAAAGATATTGATTGAAGGACTGTGGAATTCAGGGCTTACATAGATAGAGCGGTAAGGGATATTGAAGAAAATAAAGGGGATGAGTAAAGTAATTTCAGGAGAACTTCCATCGTCCATCTTTGGAGTCTCTAGATCCCTATGGCCAGGTCCATACGGATACAGCGTATCCTGAGTGTTACCTTGAAAAATAATGTACAAGAGCTCATCAAATTGTAAGAGTTGAGGAAGAGAATGGTATGCTAGCTCAATATTTGCATGTCTTATACCTCTTGTGTGTGCAAAGATGCTGAAGATATGGAGCAGAATGACTGGACAGCCTGGCCTGACCATTCTGTCAAAAAAGCAGAGACACAATTTAAAGTGGTGTTACTTAATCTGTGCTGCATTTTCCTTAAAGCTAATGGAAACGCAGGAAGTCATGAGTCATAGGACAACTTCCCATAAGCAAGGCTGTGAGACAAAAGAAGTGAAGAGGTAGAACCAACGAACCAACGTCACGTTACTTCTTTAAAATCAGGCTCCCAGGGCTCCCATGAGGAGCCCTGAAAAGGCCCTATTATGCATACCAGAACAATGTGTCAGGATCACATTTGCCTTAAAGTCCCATGTGAGCCTCAACAGTGGACCACAGGCCTCTCTGTGCCTGAGTTCCCGGCAGCTGACAGGACCGGCCAGCTCTGCTCCAGAGTCTCTCTGTCTGAAGCCGCGAGGCTGCTTAGGACCTCATTACCACTTCTGTTTGGGACCTATCCATGTCTTGTTGGCTGAAGGGAGAGGAGCATAAACGCTGGGGCACTAATGGCTTTAAGTGAGCAGGTTTGAATTGCTAAGGTCCTTGGAGTAGCCCTTAGGGGCCTGGTTTGGCAAGTTTCCCGTTGGCAAAATCAGATGTACAGCCAAGTTGGCAGTCTACAGTCATCGTATAGCATTTAATCTTAATTGTTAAATAAACTAGAATGAAACTCCAAAAAGAAGGTACTGACTCTATAGTCAGCAATCAATTAGATAGTGGTACAGCTAAAATTGGTTCCCTCTAGATATCACAGGCTTCAATAGACTTTGGTTTTTCCAGCCAGCGTTCGGTACAACTGCACAGCTTTCATGCTTCATTAAAAACTTTTTACCAATTAGCTGCCTGCAAGCTACAAGAGATAGTTACTTTCTAATGACCACCTAACAAAGAACAATCTAATCCCTGTAAGCCGTTTGGTAATTTACTGATAACAATGATGTGTCTGTTTTGTTTTAAACATAGGATTTAAATGACTTCATGGATAAACGAGGTTAATACCACTCCAAGTAACTTGGTTTGGGCACTAGTAAATAGTTTAAAAGTTTGCATATTTCATTGGGTAGTTCAGTTTGTAAAACAGTGTTCGCTGTAGCTGCAGGCTAGCAGTTTTGACATATATAGGCGCATTTATTGAAGCATTTATACAAATATTTATAAACTATATAATTTAAAATGAAAAGATATGGTTTTATTTCATTATACGTGAATGAATGAAAGCTATGAAAAGCTAGTCGACCAACATGGCACGAAAGTAAATGTGGAGCATCTCTGCGCTATCGACCAAAAATTAAGAAAACTGTTATTTTTCATTTTTAATGCAATAAATAGACCTTAGTATGATCTGGGAATCTTTATGTGAATCCCCCCCACAGCACCTTCTGCACTTAACCGATACACAACAAATGCAAGGCCAATTCGAGACGTCTCCCAAATCTCTCTAATGTGTGAATTCTGCTCAGGCGGACATTAAATCGCATTCAGGTGTGCCAAGGTTAGTGGGCACTGCTGAGAGAGGTCTGCTGTAATGTCATCAGCCTCTCATCATACATTGTTAACAGAAAGATTAACCACAATTGCTCTTTTCACTCTTGTGACTCACCATGTTATCTGACTGGCATTAAGTCCTTTTAGTGGCTTTTAAGGTGGCAATTAAGATACAGCCCGAACACAACACTAAAGGGTGTTTATCTCTTTATCTCTGGGGTCACACTCAAAAAGAGACCAATCATGTTGTATTAAAGAAACATTAGAAGTTAATTCACTCAATGAGGATTAATATAAAGATTTTTAGATAGATATGATTGTCAAGATCAAACAGTGATCAAAATGTAACTCACAGTTTTTTGGGGGCTTTTTTGTACTCAGTTCCAAAAGTGGAAAATAAAGTAATGTCAAAATCAAGATTTACATTTGAGAGTTTAAGGTTGTTTTAGGGGGGGAAACAAAGGGGGAAAACAGGCATTTTTACTCATGAAGTTTGCAACCCTTTAACGTGAATCCAATACTGGAATCATCACCAGAAGAAAACACATGATCCCAACAATTTTAGATAGAAAGTGTTATTTTTTTACACTCACCCCCCCATAACTCCTGTGACATACAGGTATAGTCTGTATTTGCAGCATGAAAACATGCTGATTTAAAACAGTACAGGTTTGTTGTTATAACCACAGTGAGGTTATAAATTCAGAAAATACTGAAATAGAGTGAAGGACAAAAATGATGGACTCACCTGCCTTCAGGAGATGAACATCTAGCACCTTACTAGTCTAGTGGCAATCTCCACAGAGCAGTATCCCATCCAGGGAGTGATGGAGGGAGTACAGAGAGGCAGTCGAAGTGATGAAGAGCAGCTGGATGTCCTGATGGAAGAGCGCTTCTTGTCCGCGTCCAGCTCCGCAGGAATTACCGACAGAACCAACAGCGAGCTAGAGTTTTTTTTGTTCTCGCCTAAACTGGGAATCAGTGAGAATCAGTGGAAGGAGCTTTGCCTAAAGAAGCAGGTGCAAACTTTACCTGGGATAGTGTTCACGTTAATCTGAGATCAGTGTTTGGGGACGGGGGGTGGGTGCGGAGGAGAGGGGACTTGAGAGGAGGGACAGCGGAGGAATCCGGGAGAGAGAGGGAGAAACTGGAAACAGAGTAAGAAGAGCAAGAAGGTGAGAGGGGAAGTCAGAGGTGGAAAAACAAAAGAGAATTACTGTCTGGAGACATGTTTTAAATACCACAGAAGAGGAATGTTGTGTACAAAGAGAGGCTCTCATGGGATGAATGCAAGCCTCTTTGGGCAGGATCGGTCATCAACAGCAGCAAAGTGCCAATTGATGATAAAATGTGTCTGTGGTGGACGATTTGGTGGGAAACACTGTGGCTTTTATGGGGGTTTTTTGGAAGGGGGTTGAATGATAATGTGTCCTTCACCACCTGAAGCAGCAGTTTAAAATGTTTCTCTCGTTTTGACTGTTTTTTGTGCTGAAAGTGTAAAAGAAGGTCGTCTTTGGATCAGGACTCGGTCGTGGTTAGAGCCTTACCAGAGTTCACTCAGTACAGTTAAATCTCAGAGCACCGGAGCACACAGACTCACCAAAGGAGTACAGTCTCACTCTGGGGGCGTTTATAGACCAAAACCAGAAGCACACACACAGTCTGAGACCTAGCTCTTTAGCTCGGCGGTAGCTAGAATTACAGAATTAACATCAGTCACTTTGGGTACTCTGTGTAGTCCCCTTTTTTTAATTAGGTACAGCCTCATTTACAGGGTTATACAAGACACTTCATTTCCATAGATGCTGGAGAGATACTGAGGGGAAATCTCAGGTGGATCCACGCTGATAGGGTCTGGGAAGGAGAGGGCAGTCAGTTGGGTCTTTGTTGCCGGAGGACAGTGGAAGTAACTGGAGAGGCAGGGAGCAAGATGTGTGAAAGGCTCCAGGACTGAGGGCAGGCCCCGGGCTCCCATTAAGCAGCACTGAGACTCTCTGCGGAGGCTTCTTTTATACCTCCCACGTCTTGTTGTGTAAATGGTCACATACTCTTAAGCGAGCTGTGAAAGAGAATGTCATACAAAGAGGGACAAAAAAAGTCGGCAGTTACAGGTGACCTAGTGGGCTGAGGGAGCTTCCTGACCAAGGTTTTGTGTTTTGGGAAATGTCGTAGATGGAGAAGTTGGAAAGACCTAGATGGCCCGATTTCTTGTGATCGCACAACAGATAACGCTTCTTTTTCCTTTGTATACGAGGGTGGTCGTGTCACACGGCCTCTATGTAATTATGGTTGTTAAAGGGGCCAACTGTGTCATAGAGCACATTAGGATGTTATATTTGGGCCAACTGCGAGCATACAGGTCTGTACGGAAGCCCATTTCCGCCACTAAAAAAACCAAAAAAAAACAAGTATCCATAACTCGAAATTTCAAGTTATTTTCTTAAAATTTCGACTTATTAACTCAAAATTTCGACTTGTTAACTCGAAATTTCGACTTGTTAACTCGAAATTTCAAGAAATGTAACTTGAAATTTGGAGAAACATAACTTGAAATTTTGATTTACTTTTCTCCAAATTTCAAGTTAATAACTCGAAATTTTGAGTTAGGTCTGCCAATCAGTAATCTATGTGAATGAGGTCACTTTCTTGTTACCTGGAAGCATATGGCGCAGAGTAACGCACACTCAAAACCGGATCGCAACAAATTGGTGCTTTCGCAAGTACGTTTGCTGATAGTAATGCCATGTGATTCAGCTAATAACACAAGGATTTCATCATTTTTGAAACCACGCTGAAAATACTCAGCGATCTGTGCATTCATGACTGGATGTAATACCGGTAGCTTAGCTGTAGCATTTGTACCTGAGGGCTTCAGCTTCTGGGTAACAAGGAAATTATGTCATTCACGCAGATTACTGATTGGCAGCACTAACTCGAAAATTTGAGTTATTAACTCAAAATTTGGAGAAAATAAGCACAAATTACAGAGGTGAAGACTGGAAAAAAAACAACCAAAAGATGAACAAAACCTTAACCCAAGCCATAAAATTTAACTGAATGGCTCGACTCAAATCAAATCAACTAAAAAAAAAAAAAAAAAAACACAACGAAACTGCAGGTTGATCCCAACTCAGCTAATACATAATAAATCAAAGCTGCAGAAGCAGTTAAACATTGAGGTTAGTGCTGATGGAGTGCAGAGAGTTAATGATTTGATAGATACAATAGATAAAGACAACAGCACTAAGCAAGAGGGGAGAGAGGAGAGCATGCATCTTAACTTAATCTAAAGACATAGAAAATGATTAAAATGAGAATGTACTGACACACTGAGGCATGCTTAATATAAAAAACCTGTATTCACAGTTTTACACTGTGAAGCATGTGAGTAACTTGGATGCTATAGTAAGACCACCAACTTCTTCGCAAAATCTCTGTGAGTGGTGGTGAAATCAGAGATGAACACAAAGTAAAAGTGCAGTTAATTTTTGAGAAACCCCCACCCAGACCCCCACCACGGTGAGAGATGGTGAGAGGTTAAATGCCACTGGCTGAAACTACT